GAGCCAGGGCCTGAGGGGCCAGTGATGGATGGGAGCCACGGCCTCCTTCACCCCAGGCTGCCATCTGTCCTCACCTGGGGTCTGAGCCTCCCTCTGAACCCTAGGCAGGACCCTGTTGAGAGAGGCACGCTCCACCCCACGCCTCAGTTTCCCTTGTAGAGAGATCACTACTTGTAGTAGCAAGTCAGACCCTGGGTTGGAAGCCTCTGGAGGCAGCCCAGGTGGCCGAGGCTGGGGGGCGGGGCGGGGGGTGGGGGACTGTTGGGGCATCCGGTGGAAGGGCAGACCACATGCACCAGTGGCAGTGTTGCAGGCCCCACCCAAGACCTCATGTCCCTGCCCCCTACAGTGCCCAACCTGGACTGGGCCTCCTTGGAGGGAGTGAGGGGCCAAAGAGCAGCACCTGGAGGAAGGAAGAGACGCCAGGGGTGGGGCTTAGAAGGCCTTTGTCTGGCGGGGGCCCTCTCCCCCGCCTCCCGCTCCCATTGTTCTGTGCATACAGTCTCGAGGCTGGGGCTTCCCAGGGTGGGGTGGTGGGTGAGGGTCCCGGCCGCCTCCCCCCGCTGCCCCTAGCTCTGGCCGCTCTTCTGAAACAAAACATAACGGGGCGCTGCCCAGGCCTTCCGTCCTCCCCTGCGTCCCTGGCTGCTGGGCTCCCCCTGGTGGTGGCTGGGCTGAAACCCTGGGAGGTGCCAGCGCCCGCCCGCATGACAGCATCTGGAGCCGAGCTGGGAATGTGGCACTTTCTGGGGAGGAAAATAGGAGGTGGTGTCTGGGAAGCGTTTGGGGTGGGCTTCCCAGGGCGTACCCCACCTTCCCCACGGTGCCCCTGGGGCAGTAGGCCTGGGGTTTGTGGCAGGGTGGGCGGGCCCGGCGCTGTGGGTTAGAGCTGGGCGCTGCCCAAGTCTCCCCTGTGGTCCCAGGCGCTGCTTCCCTCAGGCCCGCCACGTCAGCTGGCTGTTCTCCCAGCCCCCTGTGTGCCAGGGGAGCCCACCGGCGTGGGAGCTGTCTCCAGGGGGGCCCCATACCCAGCCTGCCCAGCTTTCAGAGTGTGTGCAGTGAGGCTGCCGGGCAGGAGGGCGTCTCCAGGGGTGTAGGAGTGCCAGGCTGTGTGGAAGGGAGGTGAGGAAGCCAGCAGCGGAGTGAGTGGCAGTGACTCCTGTCTGCTCCACGTGCCGAGTCCCAGCAGGGAGCCGCCACGCTCTGAGTCAGCCAGGGAGCCACTGTTCACTGCTCTTCGTCTGTTCTTTATCTGAAAGCCTTCAGAAGCACTCCTTCAAATGTGGTGACCACGGCGGCCACGCTGCCACCGCAGTGACCAGCACAGCATGGTCATTGTGGGCTGCAGGAAGTGAGAGGTTCGGGGAAGTCTGTATTCTTGAAGAGGACAGAAAAATAGCGATAACTTTGATCAGAACGCTCATCGTGAGCCAGGCACCAGGAGAAGAACTTTGCATTTAATCCCCACCGTTTCGCAGACACTGTTCCAGGACGAGGCAGCAGGGAACTAAAACTCCTGGGAATCTCGAGGGATCAGGGTGGGCATCAGGACTGCGGTAGGCCTGGACTTCCCTCTGGGAGAAGATCTACAGGCAAGGGATGGCCCTCTCGGGGCCCAGCCGCCTCTGCTGGAGAAGAAGCAGTCAGTGTGTCAGCCTCCCAGCGGACCTAAGCCTTTAGAAGGCAGAGGGCCCGAGATGAACACACACCAGTGACTTGAATGCTGGGGCCTGGGAATAGCATCGCGCGACTCTCCTGTGGGCTTGTCCCACTGGCAGGAGCCTGCTGGCTGTGTTCCAGCAGGTGGGGTGGTGCCGTCGTCCTCCCCTCCCCTCCCCTCCCCTCCCCTCCCCTCGCCTCCCCCACAGGGACTCTGCACTCCTAGAGTGGAAGCAGCCGCTGTGATTACCACCCACCTGCTGTGGGCCCAGCAGCCGCACCACAGGACGAGGGCTGTGGCCCAGTGGGAATGTCACAGCCACCCCAGGGAAGCTCGGTGGGCCCCTTTGGTCTCATCCAGCTGGGGGCGGAGGGCCAGGAGGGGCTGACTCCTGCCCCCTTCTGTTGGCTCAGCTCCCCACCCAGCACCGCTGCAGCAGTCTGGAGTCAGGTGGTGAAGGTGCCCCCGGCAAGCAGGGTGCAAGTGAACTGGGCCACATGGCAGCGTGCCTGCTAGGAGAGACCCGTCTGGCCCTGATGGAAAAGGGGACAAGCCATAGTAGTGATGGGTGAGGCTGCCGGCCGTGTGCCAGAGCCAGGGTCTTGGCGCCACCCACCCCTGTTCCTGGCCACCTTGTCTGCTCTCTCTGCTCCTGGGCCATGCCCCTCACTGTCCTGGTGTCCCCTGTGCTTCCTGCCTGGCTGCAGCACCACACCCTTGTCCTGCCACTCACTGCTTCCCGCCTGAGTCACACTGCTGGAAGGACAGAGGGACCAGCCGAAGCCCCAGGACGCAGGCTCCCAGGCCCTTTGTCGCCCACCTGTCCGATGGGGCTCCTTGCAGTGACCCCTGCTGACAGCAGAGAATGTCTTCCTAACTCAGCACCTGAGAGGCCTTAGGAGGGAAACAGGGTGGAAGGGGACAGAGAGGTGGGCCTTCAGCTGGCTTTGGTAGGCAGCAAGTGTCCTGGCTCACAGCCTGGCCTGCTCAGGTGCTGCCTGCCATGGTCTCTGCTAACCCTGCTAGGGAAAGTGGATGCAAAGCAGATTTACCCTGTCATCCCCTCCGCTGGCCAGGGTCTCGAAGGGCCTACACAGCTGCCAAGAGAGGCATCAAAGGGCCAGACGCTCCCTCCACCCCCAGGGCCTGGCCAGGTGGGGAAACCGATGCCTCAGGTGGTCCGGGGTCCCACAATCACACAGGCAGGGGCAACCTTTGCACTGGAGCTCAGGCCCCCTGTGCCCCGGACAGCTGCCCTCTGAGTCTCAGGTCGCGTGGCAGGACAGCATGACTATCGCCCCGACCGCATATTGGCCTCCGCTCCACAAGAGGGGGCAACCGGGAAGGAGAGCTGGGGCCACTGCTGCCCTCCCTGCCCTGACGGATGTTTGGGGCCCTGGGGATCGGGCTCCACTGCAGGCTTTCCCAGGCCCTGGGCTGACACCCGCACTTGGCCGACCAAGGAGCACCCACCTTGCCCAGGGGAATACGCTGGGCTCAGTGCCTCTAGTGCCAGAGTAGAGGCATCACGGCCCCAGCGCTGCCCAAAGCCTGCTCAGCCCTCACCTCCGTCCTGGGACCACTAGAAGCCCAGGGATTGTGGAGCTTCTGAGGCGAGCTCAGACCCTGCCACTGGGGGCAGCTGCTGGGACGTGGACTCCTCCCTACGCCTGGCGCCTCACTGTGGTGAGGGCCACAGCTGTGCCTTAGTTTCCCCAGTAAAATTGGGTCTGAGGTCAGGAAGGGAAGATGGGAAGGCCTGAGTGCTGCTGCGCAGACGGGGCCAGGCTGGGAGGAGGGGGCAGTGGCACCGGGGAGGCTCTGGGAGGTGCCCCCTGCTGGGTGAGGTGAGCCACCTCAAGTCTGCATGTCGGGTGGGGGCGAGCACAGAAGCCACCGGTCAGGACTGCGGGGGAGACTGAAGGACCCGTGCAGGTATCAGGAGAGGGGCGCCTCTGGCACGGGGGCTCCTCGCTGCCTTGCCGCCACTATTACTGTTGCCGTTGGTGCTGGTGTTACCACCGCTGCCTGCATTGAGTTGTCTGTGAGTGCCCTGGTCCTCGGAGGCTGTTCTGACCAGCCCCAGGGATGCTGGGGCAAGGACAAAGTCCCCAGGCTTTACCTCCCACACACCCTACCCACCCAGCCCGCAGGGCCACCCAGAGGGACAGCCCTGCCACGGTGCTCAGGAAAATCAGGATCCTGACAGGGACACGGGGCAGGAAGTGGTGCCTGGCAGTGGCCGACAGGAGCCAAAGGAAGTCTGCAAAGGCCAGGAAGGGGCCAGGGCCCAGCTGAGGCTGGCTCTGCCTGGAGCTCAGGCCAGGTAGCAGAGAGAGGCCCTGCCTCTGCTCCCTGTATCCCCCAGCCTGGTTCTTACTTCCCTGCTCAGACTCCCTGGGGACTGCAGGTTCCTGCGCTGCACTCCCCAGGAGCTGGCTCTGTGTGTTTGAGGTGGGGCCTGGGGATTTGCTTTCGTAAATGCCCTCCCAGGCCATTGTCCTGCAAAGTCTGCACGGAGTTGTTGTTTTCCAAAAAGCTTTTATTTACTGGTTCACTCTCTAAATGTACTCAGTAGCCAGGACTGGGGTACATCGAAGCTTAGGAGCCAGGAACTCCATCCAGGTCTCCCATGTAGGTGGCAGGGACCCATACTTAAGCCATCACTTGCTGTCTTCCTGCATTAGCGGGAAGCTGGAGTTGTGAGCAAAGCCAGGACTCAAATCCAGGCACTCTCATATGGGACACAGGGGTCCCAAGGGACGCCTTCCCTGCTGTGCCAAATGCCTGCCCTGGCCCTTACTTTGAAGGATTCTGGGTTCTGTGTAATACCTAGAAACATCTCTCTCAATAGAAGATGAATATTTATCATCTAATTTTTATTTTTAAATTTATCTTAAAGCACTATTTTTTGAAATATGTTCCTCCACATTTTTAACATTTTTAAAAAATATTATTTGTTTATAAAAGATGGGGTTGGAGGAGGCACCTGCCTGCCAGGTCGGCCTGAGGGCTGTGTTGGTGCACAGCAGCTTTGCAGCGGGGCAGGCCCGCGTGTTCAAGATCACCAGGGGATGCGGGCGGCCGCTGCGGCTCCAGCCAGCGTGGTGAGGAGCCGTAGTGGACAGTGGAGCTTGTGGGAGGCGAAGCCTCCAGGGTCTGCTGGGGGCGTGTGTGCCCTCTGTTGCACCGTGGCACTGCCAGCTGCAGCCCCGCTAGCTCAGCTCCCCGCCGGGCCGGGCTGCCTCCATCTCACTGTGCATCTGCTGGGGAGTGAGTTCTGCCCCCAGGGCTACAGGCAGCTGGGCCTGCTCCTGACCGCCTGTGCCCTCTGTTGCAGGTGCCGGGGAGTCCGGGAAGAGTACCATCGTCAAGCAGATGAAGTAAGCGTGTGCGTGGGAGGCGGCCCCCGTGCCTTGATTTCCTCTCTCCTCTGTCTGGGCCTGGCCCATCCTAGCCAGGCCCAGGGCCTTCTCTGAGATGGTCATCCACCCGCAGATCGTGACGGGTCGGGGCCAGGTTCCCCATCTTTGCAGCAGGTCCCTGCAGGCCCGTACAGCCCTGGGCAGACTGGTGAGCCCCAGTGCTCTACAGTCCCTAACCCCTGACCTCTGACCTTCAGGATCATCCACGAGGATGGCTACTCGGAGGAGGAATGCCGGCAGTACCGGGCAGTGGTCTACAGCAACACCATCCAGTCCATCATGGCCATTGTCAAGGCCATGGGCAACCTGCAGATTGACTTTGCCGACACCTCCCGCAATGTATGAGTGCTCTCCCCCGTCCCCCTGCCCACCTCCCTAAAGCCTTCAGGGCAAGTCTTGTCCTGGGGAGCCCGAGACTGTCCCAGCCTGGGCCCCATTCCCTCTCCAGAGGTCTCCCTGCCTCTGACATTCAGGGTGCGGGTCCACTCCTTCACCTGGCTGACTGCCCACTGCTGTGTCCAGGACGATGCCAGGCAGCTGTTTGCGCTGTCAGCTGCTGCCGAGGAGCAGGGAGTGCTCCCTGAGGACCTGTCTGGCGTCATCCGGAGGCTCTGGGCTGACCAAGGGGTGCAGGCCTGCTTTGGCCGCTCGCGGGAGTACCAGCTCAACGACTCAGCCGCCTAGTGAGTGTCCCCAGCAGGGTCCCGCTGGTTCTCTGTGCAGCTGAGTGCTGTCGGCCAAGGCCTTGGTGTTTTCTGGCTTGGGGTGGGGCGGGGCGGCACCGTGGCTGCTGCAGTCTCTGCCTGTCCAATTGAGTCTTAGGTGTGTGTCTTCAGCACGTTTCTGGAGAGCATTGGCTGCAGCCTGCTCTGGGCAAGGCTTTCCTGGACACTGATGAGTGGAGGAGACCAGTCCCCAAGCAGTGACAGCTTAGGGTGCCCATGTAATGGTGGGGGCTGGGGGAGGCCCATGAGAGGAGCTGCTTCGCTGAGCTCTGGGCTCAGAGGGGAAAGAGAAGTGGGCTGCAGGCAGGAGCGGGACATGTGCAGAATCCTAGAGCCGCACCTGCGACAAAGGATGTCCAGGCTCCTGGGAGAGGCTGCCCCAAGGAGGAAAGGTGACAAGTGAGTGCAGGCTGCAGCCCTGGACCTCAGCATCGCCCTCACTGGCCATGAAGCCCAGGACTCAGCTGGGGAGTCACGGGGAGTCCTGAGGGCCCCAGAGATGTGACATACAAACTCCTTCCCTGCCATTCCACCAGATGCCAGGACTGGAGAGGGGTGCTGAGGACCCCATGGGGAACAGGACACGCAGGCTGGCAGACAGTGAGGATGTGCAAGGCTCAGGGGACACCCACAGGCTTCAGCTGGTACCGCCAGATAGACTGTGCTGCCGCTCCCTAAGCCCTGCTCCGCACCGCGCTGCAGCCAGCCCCTCCCACTCCGTGTGGGTCAGCCTGTAGCTCCTGCTGCCATCACTCCCCAGCCTGTCCCGGAGGGCTGCACCCAGTGAGGGGCGGGGGAGGAGGGTCTTTCCTGGCCGTGTCCCTGAGCCCTGCTCCGATCCCAAGGACAGTCTCTCCCTACCCTGCTTGTGTGACCCGAATGGCTGTGTGTCCCTTCCACAGGAACTGCAGAGTCACAGCCCAGCAGTCTGGGGGCCTCCAGGCCTCCCCCACCCCCGCCCCCGAAATCGTGGGCTCAGTCACAACAGAGTTTCTGGGCCCCAGGGACAGGAAGGGGTGAACCCGTCAACCATTGCTGCTTCAGTGCCCACAGCACAGGGCGGAGGTGGGGGATAGGCGCCCCCCGGGCCACTTCCCACTTTGCAGTCACCCTGTTTTCTTCTTTGCCCAGATAGTAAACACCCCACTGTGTGCCCAGCACTGTTTTGGGAGTGGGGTTCCGCTCTCCCAAGCAGGACTCTGCCTGGACAGGATCACCTGGGAGTAGGATGCAGACTGGGAAACCCCAGGGTCCAGCCCTCTTCCCAGCAGTCCTCCAAGGCTGCAGAGGGGCAGGGCTCCCTGGGGTGAGTCTACCTGCTGGGGAGAAGGGAGAGGCTGGCGTGGAGCTCACCGTGAGGCCTGCAGGCCAGGGGCTCTGGCAGTAGGGGGCGGGCCATGGTATGCAGGTCATGGCACATGCGTCACGGTCCCCCATGGCCCTTCCTGTTTTTCTGTTCTGTCCCTGTGTCTCTGAGATCATTTCCCTCTGGCCTGGTTTGGCCTGGCTGTTGGTGGAAGCCAAGGGCTGGCCCCAGGAGCGAGGCACTGGGATGGGGCGGCAGCATGGAGGCCTGGACCCAGCCTTTATTCACAGCGAGGATATGGAAACAGGCACGGGGCTGGTCCCAAGACCCTGCAGGGGCAATGCTGGTGCTAATTAAGGGAGCTAGTAATGAGGAACCCTTGGGGCCCTGCCAAGCAGGTGTCTTTGCCCGTCCCCCGAGGTGCCCGTTTTATTGGGTGCTGGGCAAAGAGCCCACTGGGCCTGGCAGGCCCCAGCATGCCCAGCCCCACAGCGAGGGACTGCACCAAGCTGTTGTGTGGCGGGTGCTGTAATTGCACCAATTAGCATCCTGAATCCCTCGCTGGGGACTGATGTGCCCCTCCCACCGCCTTGCCTGTAGCACTACCTGGATCCTGTCTGAGGCAGGCTTGGCTGGCTGGCCCTGCAGCTGCACCTCCCTCCAGTCCCATTCTGCAAGTGGGAAGCAAGGAACTCCTGAGTCCTGGCTTCTGCATCTGAGCAATGAACGTAATGCAGGCCGGAGCTAAGGAAGCAAGGGTTTTGCCAGAGAAATGTGGGCACGGGCTCTTCCACCTTATCCACGGGGTCCAGGCAAGGAGGCCCCATGCGGGTACCCACTGACCCGCCCCCCGCGCCCCGCAGCTACCTGAACGACCTGGAGCGCATCGCACAGAGTGACTACATCCCCACGCAGCAGGACGTGCTGCGCACCCGCGTGAAGACCACAGGGATCGTGGAGACGCACTTCACCTTCAAGGACCTGCACTTCAAGTAAGTGGGGGCGGGATCTGCCAGCCCTTGGGGTGGCAAAGGAAGGGGCTGGTGCGGGGACCCCCAGCTGCACTCTGAGGTTTCCCACGGCTGTGTTCTGGGAATGCACATCCTCACCACGCGAGGAACTCCGGGGCCGGGATCCACGCCGCCTCCCACCCGTAGCTCCCTGCTCCTCTAACCCCACCCCACGAATCAGCACCCTGGCCTGCTGCCCAGGCCCCCGACCCTACCGCTGCAGACATGCCCTGGTCTAGGCCCAGGGGTGTGGTGGGCAAGCGGGGTCCTTGCTGTCAGGGCAGCTGCCCTGCTCTGGGCAAGCTCCTTCCTCAGTTTGCCAGCCTGCAAAATGGGACAGGACACCTCCCCCAGGGCTCCCTTCCCTGGAGCTATGGTGAGCCTGTGTCCACAGGATGTTTGATGTGGGTGGCCAGCGGTCGGAGCGGAAGAAGTGGATCCACTGCTTTGAGGGCGTCACAGCCATCATCTTCTGCGTCGCCCTGAGCGCCTATGACTTGGTGCTAGCTGAGGACGAGGAGATGGTGAGAGGCTGGGGGAAGGCTGAGGGCGAGCCTCCGGGGACAGGCCCGGGTGGCCTGGTGGCCGGCGCTGACCTCTGCCCTGCCCCCAGAACCGCATGCATGAGAGCATGAAGCTGTTTGACAGCATCTGCAACAACAAGTGGTTCACGGACACGTCCATCATCCTCTTCCTCAACAAGAAGGACCTGTTTGAGGAGAAGATCACACACAGCCACCTGACCATCTGCTTTCCTGAGTACACAGGTGTGGGGCTGTGGGCAGGGCCTTGGGGAGGAGCCAGTGGTGAGAGGTGGCCCGCGGGTCCCCCATGGCACCTCACTGAGGCTGCTGCAGTTGTCTGCACACGTGGGGCTCTTTTGTAAAAGATGTATTTGGAAGGCAGAGTTAGCGAGAGAGAGATCCCATCTGCTGGCTCACTCCCCAGGTGCCCACAACAGCCAAGGCTGGGCCAGGCTGAGGCTTCATGGGGGTCTCCCACGTGGGTGGCAGAGACCCGAACACTTGAGCCACCTTCTGCTTTACCCGGGCCGTTAGCAGGGAGCTGGATCAGAAGAGGAGCAACCAGGGCACGAACCCAGTGCCCATATCGGATACTGGCACTCAGGCGGTGGCTTTACCTGCTTGGCCACAACGCCAGCCCTGTGGGGTCCTTCTTCCCTGAACATGTGCACATGGCATCCCTCCCAGGGCCCCTCCTCACACACTCATCCTGTGCACACGCATGCACATGCCTCGTGCTTGTCACCCACACACACAGAACCCTGCTGGCCAGGTAGGACGGAGCCTGCCTGCCACACGCACACACACGAGTTTTCACTGTGCCTTCCCCAGGGGCCAACAAGTATGACGAGGCAGCCAGCTACATCCAGAGCAAGTTTGAGGACCTGAACAAGCGCAAAGACACCAAGGAGATCTACACGCACTTCACGTGCGCCACCGACACCAAGAACGTGCAGTTCGTGTTCGACGCTGTCACCGACGTCATCATCAAGAACAACCTGAAGGACTGCGGCCTCTTCTGAGGGGCAGCGGGCCTGGCACAGTGGTGAGCCAGTGGGCGTGAGGCGGGAGCTGGGAGGACCGGGTTGGGGGGGCTGAACCTGGCCGTGGCGGGGAGGGACAGTGGGAGAGCAGAGGACAAGATGGGAGCCTGGAGGATCAAGTGCAAGGGGTGCAGGACCCTGGCAGGTGCTTCAGTACCCAGGGGTCCAGAGGGGCACGGCCCGCCCCAGGACAGAAGCAGCTGTCCCAGTGTGCCTTGGGGGACACTCAGCTCCTCACCCCCAGAGCCACTGGCCTAGCCTGGTGGCAGCTGGAGGCGCTGCACTGGCCTCGCACTCATCCCGAGCTGTCAGATCTCTGCGAAGGTCCTGAGTTCAGGCTGGCCTGGCCCCACGGGCCCTGGCGCAGGTGGCGATGGCACTGCCAGTGCTCCAGGCTCCCCTCCCTCCTGTAACCCAGCCACAGAAACTGATTCCTGGGCAGCGACTGTGTCCCTGGTAACAAGTGGGTGGCCAAAAGGAACAGGGCCACCATCTAGGGGGGGCGGGAAGAGAGTGGCACACACTCCTGACCCATCCCCCACCTCCAGGGCCACCGCCGACTCCGCTGCCCCCAGCCCCGAGGAAGATGGGGGTGAGAAGACCATGCTCCCTGCCCGTGCCCCCGCCCCGCCCCTTGGCCGCTTTCCCCCTCTCCTTCCTCTGTTCTCAGCTCCCTGTCCCCTCCCTCAGCTCCAGACCTGGGAGGGGCTGCCACAGGCCTCCCGGTTGGAAGCCTGGCCTGGTTGGAGCTGTCGGCAGTGGCCACGGTACCCCCTTCCTGGGCATCAGTTCTGGGGTGTGGGGGGCACTGCTGAGTCCCCCAAAGCCCGTGTCTGGAGCGGCACTCACTCCTCCAGCCTGGACCCCTGACCCAGCCCAAGTCCAGATGTTTACAGGGAGCCTCCTGCCCACCCGCCTCCCCGCCGCTCGGAGGCCCCAAAGGAAAAAGCACAAGAAGCGTGAGACGCCACCATTCCTGGAGACCACAGCCCACCTGCTCATTCTCGTCGCTTTTTAAAAAAATGAAAGTAAAGGAAAAAAAAAAAAAAAAAAACCCTGCAAACCTAGAACACTTTTTAGAGAAAAACTATTTAAAACTGTCCGGTCCTGACCAGCACCCACCCACGCCCCTCCAGCGACTCCGTGCCTTGAGTGTGTCTGCCTGTTTACACCCGTCCCCTCCGAGGGCCGCCCCGCCCGCCCACCACAGAATTGGGTTCCAAGGGCTGTTCCAGACAACTGCCAAGGTCACTGAGGGCCCCGCCCCGGCGGCCCTGGACCCAGGCTCCATTAACCTCCATGTAGCTCCTTAGCGCTAACCTAGGAACCGCCGCTGCCTGCTGAGGGGCCCGCCCCTCCCCTCGTGCCCTCGCCCCAGGCCCGGGTCCTTCAGCGTTGAACACTTCCTTGCTTTTTTCACGTTTTATGGAATTGTTCACGTGGTTTGAAATAATAAAATGTAGAAAGAAAAAAAACTTCCCAGAGTTGCAGAGTATTCCTTCTCCCATGGGCAGAGGCCCCGGGTCCCAGGCAGACCAGGGTGGTGATGGTGGCTGGGCCCTGGGCACTCAGCTTTCCGACTTCCTGGACCAGTGGGCACTGGGGCTGGGCCTCCTCCCGGGTGTGCCCTGGGAGGTGCCGTGGGGTCTCCAGTGCAGGAGCTGGTGACTTGCCTCCTCCCGGGTTCCCAGGCCTGGGGACTGTGCCGGTTGTTGGACGTGGCATGACTGAGCAGAAGGCCAGCAGGGGCCTCCACAGGAGAGCCCCTCCACACCCAAGGGGCGGGAGCCTGGTGTGCTGGGGGTCACTGGCCATGTGGGCACTGGGGTCATGAATGTGGAGGGTGCCGTGAAACCCTGGGAAGTGCCCGCGCGTTGCCAGAGGAGGAGACGGCAGATGGCAGAGCCGAAGATCGGCAGGGTAGGCCCTGAGTGCCAGGCGAGGCGCCTGGACTTCTGCCCGTGAACTGTAGGGGCAGCTGCTGGCAGGGCCTACAGCCAGGGCTCGAGACAGAATGGCCTCTGAGGCCCGCGCCGCCGCCTCCGGCCGCCAGGGGGCGCCGCCGCCCTGCTCGGCTCTGCCGGGTCAGTCACGAAGACTGACGTCACTGGGCCCCCGCGGAGGCCGCGGGGCACAAAGACAGCTTTGTGAAGCAGCCGCGGCTCCGCGCCCGGGGCCGGACAAAGCAGCGCGGGCCGAGGGTGGGCCGGGGTCGGCGCCGTGGAGGCGAGGAGGGAGGGGTTGGGTCGGGGACTCAGGACCCCGCCTCCACACACCTGCCAGTGCCCCGCCGCCGCAGGGGCCCCAGCCTGGCAGGAGATAAGAGGCCCGGGCCGCTGTCGGGAGGCCATCAGCACTCCCTCCTCAGTTCCTCCGGCCTTTCCGGGTACCTCTGCCTGCGAGGGCCGGCCAACAAGGAGAACAGGATCCCTGGGCTTCCTGCAGGGGCTCAGGCCTGGACCTCGTTGTTCTCAGATGAGCAGGCGGGAGCGGCTTCCGTGGGGTGATGCCCGCCCCGCAGGAAGCAAGCACCGGAGATGGTTCCTTCCGTCTGTCCTGAGGGGGAGACCTTGCACAGAGACACCATTGAGGGGCTGGCATTGGCTTGGCTGCCTGGCGCACCCAGTGCCTCCCTCCTGGGTGGGCCATACAGGAGTCTGGCCAGGATCCCCCTTGTACTCCGCTTGGCAGTGGATCTGGGTGGGGTCCTGGCAAGCAGGGGGTCCCTGGGTGCTGACAGCTTGGCCCCAACCTGCCCTTGGCCCTCCTACCCCAGCTCTGACTCCCAGGGCATAAGGCTCCATTGTCCCAGCATTGGCGGGGGCGGCCTCTCAATTCTGCCTTGTCTTTGGTGCTGGGGAAATTCCCAGCCATGGGGGGCGGTGGCAGGAGGAACCATGCAGGTGTCCTGTGCTCCAACTACAGGGAGTCCATGAGGTGGGCTTCTGGGTGCCCCCACTGCCTGGAGCTGCCTGGGATGGGCCTCAGCCATTCCTCCTTGTGGGAGAGCAGCTGGCTGAGGAGGGCCAGAGGCGCACCGCTCTAGCTTTGTGTGCCCAGAGCCGCCACCCACCCTGAGAACTGCATCTTCCCGTCCCCACCCTTGGGCAGCTGCAGACCCTTCGCAGGACATACAGAGGCAAGGAGGGACCCAGGCTGCTGCCCCCAGTGTGGCGGCGGCCACAGGCTGATCCGCCCCCTGGAGGGCCTGACCCACTCCAAATAGTTGCTCCAGCTGCTGGGGTGGTGGCAGCCTGGGTATTTTTAACCCATTTGAGGGTTAGGGAAACAGCTGGCAGGAGAGAAAGAGACAAGCATGAAGAGTCAGGCCTGAAGAGGGGAGACTGGAGGGAGACCCTGTGAGAGGAGCCCCCAGCAGGGGGTAGAGGCCCAGAGGTGAGGTGTATAAGGGGCAAGGTTCGCTGCAGGAGCCCCTCACCACATGCCAGTGCAGCCCGGTAGCCGCTCCCGGTCAGGAGAACCTCTCAGAATCCTCGCCTCCCCGCCCAACCCGGAGTGCCAAGCTCACTGGGGAGGCTGGAGGGTACGAACCCTGACAACCGCCTGGCAGGTGGCATGGCCAGCCAGATCCTGTGGCCTGGGAGTCGGGGAAGGGGCCAGAGCAAGATTGGGACTGCAGCTTCTTTCGGCTGGATTCCAGGTCTGGGCCTGCACTCAAAAAGCTGACCCCAGTCCCTGTGTCCCCTGAGATCCTAAGGGTTCGTATCCCTGGCATGAGGATCTGCATTCCCTGAAGTCGGGGAAGGCGGCCCCCACCGTCCAGGTCGATGCCCCCAGCCAGCTGGGCTGTGCAGGCAGCTGTGGACTGCATGTGTGTGCGCGCCTGCTCAGCCACTCAGCCTTCATTCTGTCACCGAGTGCCAGGTACCAGTGCCCAAGGGGAGCAGAGGTCAAGGCCACGGGGTCCCTTTCTCTTCCCTGCCTTGGCTTCTCCACAGGTGCTCTTGCTTGGGAGGAAAATAGTAGTTTGGAAGCTCCTCCCATTGACTCTGCTTTTTTATTTTAAGGACATGCATTCTAGTTTTAAATTTTTTATTTTATTTATTTGAAAGGCAGAGACGCAGAGAGAAATAGAGACCTTCCATCTACTTGTTCCCTCCCCAAATGCCTGTCAACAGACAAGGCTAGGCTAGGGTGAAGTGGGAACTCAATCCAGATCTCCCACGTGGGTGGCAGTGTCCCAAGTACTTGAGCCATCACCACCGCATTAGGTGTGCATTAGCAGGAAGCTGGATTGAAAGCAGAGCCGGGGCCGGCGCCATGGTGCAATAGGTTAATCCTCTGCCTGCAGTGCCGGCATCCCATGTGGGTGCTGGTTCTAGTCCCAGCTGCTCTTCTTCCCATCCAGCTCTCTGCTATGGCCTGGGAAAGCAATAGAAGATGGCCCAAAAGCTTGGGCCCCTGAACCCACATGGGAGACCCGGAAGAAGCTCCTGGCTCCTGGCTTTGGATCAGCATAGCTCTGACCGTCGCGGCCATTTGGGGAGTGAACCAATGGAAGGAAGACCTTTCTCTCTGTCTCTTCCTCTCACTGTCTGTAACTCTACCTCGCAAATAAATAAATAAAATCTTTAAAAAAAATAGAAAAGAAAAGAAAAGAAAGAAAGCAGAGCCAGGACTCAAACCCAGGCACTTGATATGGGATGCAGGCACCCCAGGGCGTCTTAACCACTTGCCAAACACCTGCCCTCTGACCTCACTGGGATTTGATTCAGGAGCTGGGGGTCCTGGGGCAAGGTCAAGGCGGAGCCTAAGATGTCCCTTCTCCATCAGGCTCCATCACCACTGAGGCCCAGCAGGCCCAGGGGCGTATGCAGGCGTCCTGTAGGCATGATGTCCTCTCCTCCCTGTGCCTGTCCTCTGCTGAGTCCTGTGAGGGTAGCCCCTGCTGCTGCCCCACAACGGGGAGCCCAGAGCCTTGCCTGAGGTTTGAGCCTTCACCCAGGAAAGCCGATAGCCAAGGTAGATGGCAAATAGTGAGAAGAGCCCAGCAGGTGACAAGGGAGAGGGCCTGAAGAGTGGCGGCCACAGCTCAAGCTAACTGTTGGCAGGGAAGGAGCTGATACATCCCGGAAGTGGAGCAGCTGGGGCCCTGGCAGGGTGCTGTGAATGCCAGGCTGAGTCTGCCATGCCCCCAGCCTCTGCAAGCTTTCTGAGTCAGGATGGGGGCAGGGTGCTTCAGAGGGGAAGCCAGCCAGGAGTGGCAGAATGACCACAGGGACACAGCAGGAGGCAGGGCGAGAGGGTCAGCTGCAGGGAGAAGGGGACTTGCCATTCATCAGCAAGACAGAGGGACCTCTCTGATCCAGGGACTCTGGAGCAGGGGGCTTGGCCCTGTTTGGGCCAGGCCTAGGGCTCAGGGGTCAGAGGGTGGAGGAAGTAACTGCTGGGGGGGGGGCATGGGAGAAGGGGGCAAGAGAAGACCTGAGCCTGAGACAGGCTCCATAAAGCTAGATTGGAGGAGGCAGCCATGAAGGTTTCTCTGCGGGTCCTCACAGGCCTGGGTGCCCCAGGATGCCCCGAGCTGAGGCGGCAGCAAGGGTGAACACCTGCCACCCAGACTGTCGCCTGATCCACCTGGCCCGTCTTTGGGGAGAGAGGAGAGACGCGGAGCTGGAGAGCCACAGTGTTGCCATCCAACCCTGCCTCTCCCCGGAGCCACTGCACCACGAAGGAGTTCATCCTGGAGCAGCCCTTGGTCCCCTACCCCAGACCCTCCCCATCAGCCAGCCCTCCTGGGGCCCTGAGCCGCTGCTCAGAGAAGGCCGCACTGATGTTAATGAGAATAGAGTGCAGTTGTCCTGGTCCTGGTTGTCCACTTTAGCGGCATTCCTGGCCCAGCTCCCTCCACACACCCCCAGGCTCCAGAGAAGGGAGAGGGAGGCCCCGCCCCCAGCCCCCCTTCTCCCCACCCCTCCCTGCTGGGCGATGAAGAAAACAGGAGTGAAGAGCTGTGATGTGGCTGCTGGGGGGGGCTCCCCATCCCAGAGGGGCTGACCTCAGCCTGGGAGGAATGTGCAGGAGGCGGAGGGCAGGGGCGGAGCAGTGGGGGTAGGGCCACAGCCAAAGGCCCAGGGTTCCCGGTGGCCCCTCCCTCGCCCCTCTGTCTCAGCTCTGCCATGGCCCTCAGCAGGCAAGGAGGGGAGGAGCTGATCCCTCACAGAAGGTGGGCCAGGGATCTGCTCCGGAATGTGGAGGCCAGGAGAGGGGTGGGTGGGACAAATGCCGCCACAGACCCTTTTCCCAGGGGGGATCTCCTGGGCGTTAAATCCTCAGGGGAGTTAGGCCCCAGTGATGTCTGGAGGCTCTGCATGGCCACCCCCACACCCCCACTCCCGCCCCTCCCGCCATGCCCGAGTCCCCAGGCCCCAGGTGGCCCCGCCAGCCTTGATGGCTAAAGCAGGTGTGAGTGGGGGAGCCCAAGATCCCATGCAGCCCAGGCTGGGCACTGGGAGGGCTGATGCAGCCTTCCTCAGGCGGGTGTCCCGCCCCAACCACACCACCCAGAATCCAGGCAGGATGCAGAGGGACAGGGGGAGCTGGGGATGAGGGGAAGGCAGGTGCTAGGGCCTGGCCCAAGGATCCAGTTATTGCTAAGGCCAAGGCCTTGGCGGGCTGTCCCACTGACAGGCAGCTCCAGGGCAGGAACCCAGGCAGGCTGCCCCAGCCCAGGGTAGAGGTCCCAGAGGCTGGGGTGGCCTTAGGGTAGGGGTCCAGGCAGGAGCAGGGACTCCAGCTGCCTCTCTTGGTTTGCCCCACTCCTTGGAGACCTGGCCCAGGACACCTGATTCCAGAGTCCTTGGGGACCTTCTCCAGTGTGACCATAACCTCTGCTCTTGGGCCGCTGCCTTCATGCTGCTCGTGGCCTGGCACATTTGACTTGTGGCTAAGGAGCAGAAAGGGAGACCCGTTGGGGTCAAGAATGACAGCAGCTGCCCATCCTCCGAGGACTGACCTCCCTGCTCCAGGAGGGGACACATCTGGAGCAGGGGCAGTGCATCAGGCTGGGGAGTGGGGGTCAGAGACAGCCCAGTCCCTTTGGCTGGGGGCTGAGTCCCAGGCTGTTGGAAAAATGAGGGACTCCTGGTCCCTGGTATGAGCACAGAGCTGGGTGGGTGGGTAGGGGGTGCTGGAACAGACTGGGACCTTGAGCCTTGAGAAGTGAAGGCAACGGGGGCAGATGGGGCACAGCTGGGGTACATAGGGAACTTCAAGGGCACTTGCTGATCTTGGCTGCTTGGGTGGAAAAATTGTAAACAGCTGAAGAATTTTGTTTGCTTGCACTGGGCCAGCGGAGGCTGCCCAGGTCCAAGGCACGAGGCAGCTAGTTCAGGAGTAGAGGAAGACCACATCCTGGAGGTGAGAGCGCAGGCAAGGGCACACCCCTCCACCCCTCTCCCCAAGGCCCCAACGTTCACCTGCCTGCTGGCCAGGTCAGGCCAGGAGCACCAGGTCCTGAGGAAGAGGAGGGGCACGGCCTCACCATGGACTCCCCCTAGCTCCATTCCTGGCCTAGCTGGCCGGCACCCAGGGAGTGGGTGGGCACCAGAACAGTGTGCTCTTGAAGCACCTGCGCAGCCTCCCTGTCCCCTCTGAGCTGCTCCTCAGCCCTGGGGACAGGCCCTGGTTTGCTCATCCAGGTGGACCTGAGGGCTGCTGCACTCTGCCATTGTCATTGTCACCGTCCAGCCCCTCCAAAGCAGTACTGCTCGAAATGCACATAGGGTGTGTCCCCCAGGCCAGCTCCAGGACAAGATGCTGGGCCCTTCCCAGCCAGGCCTGGGTGTGCGACTCCATCGGGCACTGTCTTTGGGTGTGTGTGATGGAAGTGATTCGTCCCACCTTGCCCTGGGTGTGGTGGGAGTGACTCCTCCCACCTTCAACTTAGGAAGAGTGGAAGAGCGACTGGAGACCAGGGAGGTCATGCAGTGCGCTCCCCTCCCCTCCCTGTCCAGCCTGGGGGCCTGGGGCGGACCCACACTCTGCTGCAGAAGCCAGGTTTGCTGGGCCTTCCCGCCCCCTTGCCCGCCCCCGCCTGGCTGTCTTCAGCGTTGCTGGCTGGTCAGCTTTAGTGTTCAATGGGCCGTCAGCTGAGGAAGGACAGGGAGGGGCTGGGGTCCCGGGGCCCCTCAGAACTCCAACTGAGACGTCCCCTCCCCCACCCTCTGGCCCTCCCATCCCAGCGACTCCCGGGAACCGGAACCGAGGTGGCAGCTGAGTCCCACATTTTCACTGCCCTGGCTCCGCAGCTGTGGAAGGTCAGGTGAGGAACGGGAGCCCCGGGGGGACCCCACTCGCTGTTCCCTATGCACGCTCTGCACAGCCGCCTGGAGCTGCGGGTCCCTGTTGCTGAGCAGCCACGGGCCTCTGGGACCCCCGCGGGGCACCCTTCCACCTTGCGCCCCGACAGGAGAGGGTCCTCTCGCCCCGCCCCTCCCTTGTGCCCATTCCACTCTGGCCCGCCGCTGTCTCCAGCCGGTCCCGGCTGCCTGCCCAGTCACCCGACCCGCCCTTCAAACTTTACGGCAGGCGGCAGGCGGTGCGTGTGGGGCGGTGGCAGGCTTGGTGGGGGCGGGGGCTGCTGCTTAAAGGAGCCGTCAGAGGGTGCCCTGTGGCCCCCAGCCTTCTCCCCCTCCCAGGATGTGAGCGGGCTGGGGCGGGGAGGAGCTTGCTGGAGTTGGGGAAGCCAGCGGTGTCACTTCGCAGACATGCAGAGACTGAGAAGAGGCAGCCTGTGGCAAGTGTCAGCGGAAGGAAGGAGGGAGGCTGGGGTCCTCGCAGGGGAGGGTCCAGGAACCTGGGAGCTGGGCTGCAGCCTGTTGGGGGAGGCATCTGGCACCTGCCCTGGCTTAATCCCGCCTCTGGACAGTGCTGGAGCTCCTGTGCCCAGCACCTGCCCAGCCAGCCCGTGGGAGGGAAGGTGGGCATGGCAGCCCCATGTGAGGGGTCCGGGGAGGGTCTCTGGTCACAGGATGAAGGAACTCAAAACGGGGGAGAGGCTCATGGAGGCTGAGGGGACCCCGAGAGGGAAGGACAGCTGGCCCAGCCGGGGGGCTGAGAGTGACAGGCCGCCTCACCGTCCCTACCTGCCTACCCCGGGTGCCCCTGGAGTCTGAAGCCTGACCTCACTGACTGTCGGTGGGTTCCCCAGCCCCTTCCATGCCCTGGAGCCGCAGGGCTGCTGGAGCTGGCTTAGGAGCAGCCCTCAAGTCACAAGGAGGCAGAAGTGGAGGTGACCGCCCAGCCCAGGGGCCCCAAAGCTCCCAGGCAGCGCTTACCCCTGTTAGCACCGGGTGTCCCAGGGTCCAAGGGAGTGACTGATGCTGCGGCTGTTTGCCCACTTGCATGCCCCCCCACACTCTTGCATGTGTGCAGATGTGCAACACATGCATGCAAAACATGCACACATCACACACAGTGCCACGTGTGTGTGAAGGAACACATCTATGCACTCAGCACATGTGCAAGGCAACACGCACCATCTGTTGGCACCCAGATATACACATGTGCACGCCCACGCACGCACACTATCCACACACACGCATTCACACAGGGGCCCTCGGAGGCACACCGACAGGCACCACGCTCGGCAGCAGCCCCAGAAGTACCTCTGTGTTTCTCTGTGGGTGCGCGGGCACCTCCGGAGGCCTGACTCCTTCAACTTGCTGCTGCCTGACACTCTCAGTCCTGTCATCCTCTTGAGCTGCTTGTTTTGCTCTCTGCACTTGGCGCCCTCTGGAATGACCTCACCCATCGGACTGCACTCCTCGTTGGCACTCTGCCTCCTCCCGCGGGGACCTCATCTGGGTCTGCCAGTATCCCCAGTCCTAGTCCCAGGCTGGCACGGTGTGGGCACGCGGGGTTTGTGAATGAACGTCTGAGTGCTGTGAGTGTGTGCAGGGGAGGGACGGTTGCCGGGGAGGTGACGTGGTGGTGGCGCGGGCGCGTGCCAGTGCAGGGTGACCCTGAGGGTGTGCCCAGTGTGGGTGTGTCTGATTGCGGCCAGGCGGGGCACCCTCAGAGGGGAGGGCTCTCGGAAGCGGAATGCGACCCCCCAGCCTCTCTCCCCTAGGGGCTGTAATCCGATCCCCGGGGACTCCCCCCTAGCCTCCCGCCCTCGCCCTCGGCTGGGCTGCCGACTCCTTCTCTTCCAGATCCCAGGGCAGAGTCCAGGGCGGCTCAAGGCTCCTCCACACACACCCGCTGAACCCTGAGCGCCCTGAGCTGCCGGGATGGGGCGGGCTGAGGCCGCCGCCATGATCCTGGGCCTGGCCCTGCTCTGGGCAGAGGGGCTGGGGGGTACCACCCCCAGCCCCCCACGCCTTCGGCTCTCCTTCCAAGGTAGGTGCACCTGGCAGGTGGGAGGGCTCAGCATGGGGTGGGCAGGAAAGGGGCCCAGCGCGGATGTGTGGCTCTGTGTCGGCTGTTGCCCTGTGCGTGTGCCGGTGGGACTGGAGGCTCCAGTTAGCCCAGACCTCAGCCCCCAGCCTCTCTGTCCGCGTTCTGCTGGCGCTTTCCCACGGAGAGCCCCTGTCTCCATAGCAGCAGACTGCCCCATCTTGTCCCATCCTCTACGCCTCACCAGGCCAGGCCCCTGGGCAGGGCAGCAGGGAAGTCAAATCTCACGCCCGCCACAGTGGCACAGGGCAGGTGACTGTGCTTGGCGCAGGCATGGGACTTCCAGCCTGGGCTCTGGCCGTCTCTACATGCCCGGCTCCCCCAGAACCCTGGCATCCGCAAATCTGGCTTCCCAGTGCGCACGCCTGGAGGGAGACATCACTTGTCCAAACAAGCCTGACTTCAACCTGCCTTCCCCTTCCTGGGGGCCGCACTGCCCACCCTGGCAGCTCCGCTCAGGCATCCAGGTGGGCTTGTCTCTGCGTGTGTAAATCCACATGCATGTCAACTCACATGTGAGGACTGAACCACACGGACCACCTCTGTCCACAAGGAGGCACCCACGCAGGGCTGGGAAGGGGCCTCAGCAGCGTCCCCACCCTGCAGAGCTCCAGACCCGGCACGGGCTGCGGACCTTCCGGCTGGAGCGGACCTGCTGCTACGAGGCCTTGCTGGTGGATGAAGAGCGTGGTCGCCTGTTCGTGGGTGCCGAGAACCATGTGGCCTCCCTGAGCCTGGACAATATCAGCAAGCGGGCCAAGAAGGTGCCAGCTCCCCAGCCTTAGGGAATGAGCCCTGGGACCCCACCTCCGACTGCTTGCAGAGACCCAGAGGGCTGGGCCCCCTGTGTGAAGAGACCCCCGGGAGAGAGAATACCCCAGAGCTGACCTGTGCCCCCTCCTCCTCCTTCAACCTTGCCATAGGTGGCCTGGCCAGCCCCCGTGGAGTGGCGAGAGGAGTGCAACTGGGCCGGAAAGGACATTGGCGTGAGTGCTGGCTCCCCACCCTGGGTGGGAGGGGGGAGGGCAACCCCCGGCCCAAGACAGGGCAGTGCTAGGAGCAGCCTGCCTGTTCCGGCTGGGATCCGGACATGGTGAGTCAGGGTAGGGGCTCATGTGATTCTTCTTGGGGGGTGGGTGTGTGTGTCTCTGTGTCACGGGGGTGGGGCTGTGCTGGTCACCAAGGCCACCCAGGTCCCTGTAGCCCATGACAGTGCTTACCTGGGCAGTACGGAGGACAGGAAGGCAGGGGATGCCGCAGGCCAGCTGGGACCTCCTATGGCCGCCTCCCAGGGTAGCCTCCCAGAGTGCCCGACCCTGCCTGCCCACTAGACGGAGTGCATGAACTTTGTGAAGCTGCTGCATGCCTACAACCGCACCCACCTGCTGGCCTGTGGCACAGGGGCCTTCCACCCAACCTGTGCGTTTGTGGATGTGGGCCACCGGCCCGAGGTAAGGCCAGCTCTGGGTGGGGAGGGCGGCTGGAAGGGTGAGCCAGGGCCTGTCAGCGACCGCTCCCCCGGCTTCGCCAGGAGCCCACGCTCCGGCTGGACCTGCGAAGACTTGAGGACGGCAAGGGGAAGAGTCCTTACGACCCTAGGCATCGGGCTGCCTCCGTGCTGGTGGGTGAGTCTGGAGGCTGGGCCCCCCAACAACTCCTAGGACCCCTTAAAAACATGAGACCTTCACCAAGTCCCAAGGCCTCCCTGGTGGTGTCCCCCGTCGCCTGCTGGAGTCTCCGAGAGCCCCCAAGGCCTCCCTGGTGGTGTCCCCCGCCGCCTGCTGGAGTCTCCGAGAGCCCCCTGGACACCCCAGCGCTGAGCAGCGCTTGCCTTGCCTGCAGGGGAGGAGCTGTACTCGGGGGTGGCAGCAGACCTCATGGGCCGGGACTTCACCATCTTCCGAAGCCTGGGCCAGCGTCCGAGTCTCCGAACAGAGCCACATGACTCTCGCTGGCTCAACGGTGAGAGGCTTGGTGGGGCTGGTGGGAGGGGCAGGCGCCACGCAGGAGGAGATGAGCAGTGGGAGAAGGGCAGTCTCACCAAGGACCCACCCTATGCAGGCCTGGCACAGACGGGACAGGTGTGGCCAGTGCTCTCCCTGAATTCGCAGACCTCAGGACACATGCATGATACAATTCTAACGGGCAAGATGAGGCCAGTGAGAGGAGAGGAGCTGGGCAGGGTAAGGGGTTTGAGGCAGCCACTCTGCCGAGGGGAGCTGAGAGCTAATTCCCAAAGCACAGGAGAGCCGAGCGCCAGGACTGAGACCAGGGTGTTCCAGGCAGACAGGACAACCAAGGCGAAGGCCCTGGGGCAGGTACAGGAGAAAGGGCAGACTCACTCCCAGCGGGACATCGGGGCCTGGGGCAGCCTATTTCTTAAAATATTGTATTATGTCTTTGCTTTGAGATCTGTATTTTTAATTTACATTATAGTCGAGGCTCATTGGCTCCACGAAATAAAGAGTTTAACAAAAAAGGGAAAAGAGCATAACCCAGCACAGGCTATACACAACAATCAAAGGAAAAGATACACAACTTCACCCATATAAACTTTTCTTACGACTGAGGCAGTCTATTAACCCAGCGTGCCCCAGTAAATTTAAAAATAGTCCCGAAAGCATTAAAACGACAGTGGCATAGGGGGTATGGGATCCATGGGAGGATCAGAAGCCGGATACCCCACTTCTCTCCTTCTGCAGCCCATAGGCCTGGGCTAATTATGGGGGTCGCGGTCCTCTAGTGTGTGCCAAGGTAGCCGCGGTCTCTGCTGCCCCCTTGTGACCGCTTCTTGCCTCACAGGCCCTAATCCTTGGGATTCGGCCCGCGCCCAGGGCCAACTGACTGCGGACCTGGAGGCAGGGTGGTCATTTGCAGCCCCAGCTAAGGCCACTTCGAGGGGGAGTGGAGACAGGGCTTGAGTCGCTGTGGAATGGGTGGCAGGGGAAGGCCCTCTGACTGCTCGCCTCCTGTTGTGGCCAGAGCCCAAATTTGTGAAGGTCTTTTGGATCCCGGAGAGCGAGAACCCAGATGACGACAAAATCTACTTCTTCTTCCGTGAGTTGGCGGTGGAGGCTGCGCCGGCCCTAGGACGCCTGTCGGTGTCCCGTGTTGGCCAGATCTGCCGGGTGAGGAGTCCCTGGGCCCCTCCGGTGACCCCGCCCCGCCCCTCAGACCGCCGGGGGTCCCATGCTCATGCCGCCCCCGCCCCCCGCGCCCCTGGCAGAACGACGTGGGCGGCCAGCGCAGCCTCGTCAACAAGTGGACGACGTTCCTGAAGGCACGACTGGTGTGCTCGGTGCCTGGTGTCGAGGGTGACACCCACTTCGACCAGCTCCGTGAGTACCTGCGGTGAGGGAAGGGCAGGGACGGGCAGGGACGGGCAGGGAGGGCACAGACACAGGAGCCGAGCGGGCAGGGCTGTGCGCGCTCTCCAGCCGGGCTCCCTCCCTGCAGAGGACGTGTTCCTGCTGTCTTCGCGGGAGCGCCGCACCCCACTGCTCTACGCCGCCTTTTCTACGTCCAGGTGAGGAGCGGGGGGGTGGGGTGCGCTGCTGGAGCGCCCGCGGCGCCCTCACCCCGTTCCTGTCTTGCCCGTAGCGGCGTCTTCCAGGGCTCAGCCGTGTGTGTGTACAGCATGGATGATGTGCGCCGTGCCTTCCTGGGACCTTTTGCGCACAAAGAGGGGCCCACACACCAGTGGGTGTCCTACCAGGGCCGCGTTCCCTACCCACGGCCGGGCATGGTACGTAGCTGGGGGACCTCTGCCACAGCCCACCTTAAAGCCTTGGGTGGGGGACTTGGTCTGGGTGCTTTCTTCCTTTTGCTGTATGAGGGGTCAAGTCACCATCATCATTTCGAACCTCCTGGAGCAAGAAAGAGGCTGGCAGTCTTCTCTCCAATCCTCAGGGTAGGGCTCCAGTGCCTGGGTTGACATCCAACCCGCATACCTATATCCCGGCTGTGCCCCCTCTCCAGTGCCCCAGCAAGACCTTTGGCACCTTCGGTTCCACCAAGGACTTCCCCGATGACGTCATCCAGTTTGCCCGGAACCATCCTCTCATGTACAACTCGGTGCTGCCCGTGGGGGGGCGCCCTCTTTTTCTACGAGTGGGCGCCGGATACACCTTCACCCAAATCGCGGCCGACCGCGTGGCAGCTGCGGATGGCCACTATGACGTCCTCTTCATTGGCACAGGTGCGAGTCCCACCGCAGCGACCGCCGGGACCCTGGGTGGGCAGCGAGAGTCCCCAGCTGCTAGATCAGCCCCACGTCGTGCCCAGGGCCGCGGGTCCCCTTTCCGCGCTGCCCTGACTGTCCCCCTCCACGCAGACGTAGGCACAGTGCTGAAGGTGATCTCCATGCCCAAGGGCAGCCGACCTAACGCGGAAGGGCTGCTTCTGGAGGAGCTGCACGTGTTCCAGGTGAGGCCTCGTCTCCATCACCTGGCATCCCCCACCCCACTAAACCTTGACTCCAGTGTCCCTCCTCCCTCAGGACGCAGCTGCTGTCACCAGCATGCAAATCTCCTCCAAGAGGGTGAGCAAGCCCCAGAGTGGGGGGTGGGAGTTACCACGCTGGTGCCCCCACCCATGCCCTGCCCGCCCGCGCAGCTGGGGGTTCAGTATAGGCTCTGCCTTTGCTAGACCGTGTGGCCTGAGACCTTAGTGTTCCATCTGCCAAGTTGGGGAAGGGAGCTCTGACCGATGGGGAGGCGGGCGCAGGCCGCCGTCGGTCATGCACCCCTGTGCCCCCAGCACCAGCTGTATGTAGCCTCGCGGAGCGCTGTGGCGCAGATCGCGCTGCACCGCTGCGCCGCCCACGGCCGCGCCTGCGCCGAATGCTGTCTGGCGCGTGACCCTTACTGTGCCTGGGACGGGGCGACGTGCACGCGCTTCCAGCCCAGCGCCAAGAGGTGGGCACCGGCGTGTATGGGGTGCGGGGTCCGGGTCGCCGGGAGGGGGACAGAGAGTCTTTCGCTGCTTCGGGCTCGAAGAAGGGCTCACCGGGGTCCCAATGTCCGTTCAGGCGGTTCAGGAGACAAGACGTAAGGAACGGAGACCCCAGCACGCTGTGCTCCGGAGGTGAGTACCCAGTCTGACCCGCACTCTCAGCCGCTGAAGCTGCCCCACCCTTCCCTGGCATGCTGGAATGTGACGTTTTCCTTGCTCCAAGACTCGTCCCGCCCCGTGCTGTTGGAGCGGAAGGTGTTCGGGGTGGAAGGTGGCAGCGCGCTTCTGGAATGTGAGCCCCGTTCGCTGCAGGCACGCATGGAATGGACCTTCCAGCGCGCAGGCGAGGCGGCCCACACCCAGGTGAGCCCTGGCTGGCCCTCCCCGACGAGGCTCTCGCCCTTTGCCCAGGTGCGCCTTGCTCTGCCTAACGAGTCCCTTGGCCTGCACCCCATGTCTAGATGAAGTCTAGCCCAGAGAGGTTCCAGACAACCATACCCTTCACCCGCACCATCCCCTTTGGTCCCTTACCTGCACGTCCATCCTTGAGGCCTCCTAACATCCCACAAGGTTCCCGACCCGTCTCCACCCTCATCCAAAAGAAGCCCTGGCCCCTGCATTCAGGGGAACCCCCTGCCTCATTCGGGTCGCCTTCAAAGGCGCACCTGTGTGGGGGCCTGTCCCATGGCCCAGCTCCCAGCGACCCCTGGCCTGCTGGGAAACGCTGTTCCCTACTGCTGCCTTACGCTGCTCCCCCCTCCTCCCGCCCCCGCAGGTGCAGGCGGAGGAGCGCGCCGACCTCACCGCGCAGGGCCTGCTGCTGCGCGGGCTGCGGCGCGGGGACTCTGGCGTGTACCTGTGCGCCGCCGTCGAGCAGGGCTTTTCGCAGCCGCTGCGGCGAGTGGCGCTGCACGTGCTGAGCGCTGCGCAGGCCGAACGGCTGGCGCGGGCAGAGGAGGTTGCGCCGGCTGCAGCTCTGCCGGGCCCCAAACTCTGGTACCGGGACTTCCTGCAGCTGGTGGAGCCGGGCGGCGGAGGCGGCGCGAACTCCTTGCGCATGTGCCAGCCCCAACCGCAACCCGCGGCCCACGCCCCGGCCCAGACTGCACGGAGGAAGGGCCGCAACAGGCGGACACACACCTCTGAGGCGCGAGCAGAGCGCGGGCCGCGCAGCGCGGCGCACTGGTGACCTGCGGACCCCGCCACGCTGGGGACCAGGCAGGAGACGATGGGCGGGAGAGGGGGCGGACAGAGCCGGGGGAGACGGCTGGTTGGGGCCAGGTACGTTGGGGTCCCTGGCTTGTGGAGACGCCGGCTGATAGCCTTGGCTTATTTATTAATTAACAGGATAACTCTTGGATATAGCGCCTGAGAGGGCAGCCCCGGCCCAGCGCAGGCTCTGGCCGGCAGGATGGGGGCAGAGAAGCGGGGCTCCAAAGCCACGAGCAGGGCTGGGGAGGTGCCCTAATGGCCACCTCGGAGAGGGACACCCGTCCGTGGGCAGCGAGCAGGAAGCTGTGAACAGGCTGGGCTCCTGGAGGCAGGCCGACTGTATTAAAGCAATGCAATAAATACGTTATCGGTGGCGGCTGGAATGGCCCCGGCAGACAACCGCTGGCCCTAGACCTTGCTATGTGGTCTGCGGTGCCTTCCCAGCAGCCTCGGGGCCTGCGTTTCTCCTGTCCAAGGTCGCTGGGTGGGGATTCACGGCGCTTTCGACGTGACCGAGTGGGTTCTGGGGGAGGTCTGTAGGGGTACCGCCAGGCACAGTGCACGCTGCATGATATACCTGAAGACTCAACGCTGTGAAGGAAATAAAACCGGGCGATGTGGAAAAGAACCTGAGCGGCAGAATTCATTAGAGGGGCGGCGAGTGGCCGCTGAGCCGGGAGACAGGAAGGAGCCCTCCGCTCGCGAACCTGGGCCAGAGGCCTGGAGGTGGAAACAAGGTGCCGAGTCTGAGGCCAGCGTGACCCAGGACAGGGCTGGATGTGGGGTGTTGAAGGCGGCAGAGCCATGGTGGGCCTTGGTCCCAGGGAGGTGGAGGGGCACAGGCTACAACCACAGGCAGTGTACAGCTGGACCACTGGCTCCCACAAAGGTCCGCAGAGCTGTGCTTCCTGACCTGGGGTAACCTGGAGGTCCTTGGGCAGAGGGCAGAAGGCGAAGACCGGGACTGCTCTGCCTTAGCTGGTCTGGACGTGAGGTTGGCTTTCCATTCTCGGTGGACTCTGCCAGGGGGGAGCTGTGGGTCCTGTGCTGTACTACAGATGAGAAGACTGAGGCCACACAGGGCTGGTCCTCTACCTAGGGCTGCAACAAGCTTAGCAGTTCCACTGACCGGCACGGCCCATCTGTGGGCTCTCGGAACCCTTGTTTTCTGAAGTCACTGGGCTCCGGCTGCCCACCGCCTGCAGTCACTGGTGCTGGCAGGTTGCACCGTGGTGGGTAGCCACTCGTCATGTGTTTGCTGGGAGGAGTAGCAGAGCAGAGCGTGTCGTGGCTGCCACGTGGACAGGCTGAGCCCAAGCTGGCTGTTGTGGGTGAGAAGCCCAAGACCTCTGCGTGTTTGGGGAAGTGAGAAGGCCCCTGGGCACATGCGCTGGTGGAGGCCTTGGCTGGCTCCATCACCTGATAGTCCAGGCTGGCCCATGTGGGTCACTCCGCCCCTTCCCCTGGCTGAGTGCTGCCCCCTCTAAATATAGCCCAGTGGGCTGAACTCAGGCCTATTTTAGGCCCCGGCTGGGAGGTGGTGGCCAGGCTCTGAGAGGAGCCACTGCTGCCTTTGTCCGGTCCTGCTGCTACTGAGCACCCTCATCTGCCCCTCGACTGCCCACCAGCTGCCATGCCCGAGGAGACCCAAGAAGGTAGGAGAGAATGACCATGAGGGAGGGCAAGGGCCCAGCCCTGTGACCCTGTGGGACACACCCCCTCTGTCCCACTCCCCTCACTGTTGAAACTAGCCATCAGCTTTTTAAGAAAATTTAGTTGAAAGAGTTAGAGAGGGAGACACACAGAAGAGATCTTCCATCTGTTGGTTCACTCCCCAAATGGTCACAGTGGCCAGGGCTGGGCCAGGCCGAAGCCAGGAGCGAGGAGTTTCTTCCAGGTCTCCCACGTGGGTGGCGAGGGACCAAACACTTAGGCCATCCTTAGCTGCTTTTTCCCAGGCCATTAGCAGGGAGCTGGATTGGAAGTTGTGCAACCAGAACATGAATCAGTGCTCATGTGGGATGCCAGCCTTGCAGGTGGTGGCTTTACCTGCTATGCCACAGTGCCGGCCCCCACTAACTCTCATGTGGAGCTCAAGTGAAGGGACCCAGCCCATGCATGGGAGAGCACGCCATGCCTGCAGCCCTCCCCGCCTCTGGCCCTGCGTGCTTCCCTGCTGAGCACAGCAAGGAGGATTAGGGGGAGCTGCCTGCTAGGGATAAGTCAACTGTGGGCTGTGCCCAAGTGGGTGTTGGCATCCGGGCAGCTGCCTGGCTATTAGCTTTCTTCAGGGAAGGAGAGAGGCTGGGGTTGGGGGTGGACATTAGTTCCAGGAAACATGTGGGCGCTTGGCCAGGACTGGGAAGCAGAGAGGCTTCTGGCCTCCTCCAACGTGGGCTTAAACATCCCCCACTAGTTCAGAGTTGGGGTCCCCTGGCCTATTCAGAGACCCTCAGCTAGTCAGCAGCCTGTTCCCACAATGCTTATGGGTCCACCACATCTCAGTGCTGGGCTCAGAGGGGCCACAGCAGTAGGGATCCAGGAAGCTACAGGAAAGTGCCTGGGTGTGTGGGGGGGCCTGCATAGGGCTCCCTGGCCCACAACTCTGCTTGGTGTGGCTGGCCAGCTCCTCTCACCACATTCTCAAGTCTGCACTGCAGGAGGGGAGCCTGGCCCTGGTAGTGCTGTTTGCTTTCATTTGGGGTCTTAATATTTACTGTGTGTTTTTCCTATAGCCGACTCCCCAGTAGGATTTAGAAAGCGTGGGAAAGCATAGCAAAGTGCAGAGAAGGAACTGTATGTCTCAGACCAGCATCCCGACAGAGTGACTAGCACCGCGTTTTTGTTTGACGTACTCCGGAGCAGGGCGAGGCGTAGTTTCGACCTGGTCGGGAGGGGTGAGTTACTGGCCTGAGCAGGACAGATCCAGAGCTCCCAAGGGTGTCCCTGCACACTCAGGAAGTGTCTGCCCACTTTATTAGCTACTTTCTAGGTGTGCATCTGGAGCTCTTAAAGGACCCAGATTTTAAAATTCAAGTCAACAGCCAGAAAAGAATGTAATTAAATTATTTAGAAATCACAAACTAGACTTCAATGCACCTGAACAATTAACATCACAAGGGAAGTACACAGACCTCAGGGACTACACAGGCCGAGGTGATGAATGGATCATCAAGATGTCTTTTCTTTTTCTCTCCCTCTCCCTCTCCCTCTCCCTCTCCCTCCCTCACACACAGTGTGGTCACATTCCCTAGGCGAAGTTGTCCGATCAGACTGATGGAGGAAGGCTATTTCTAGTCTTCCAAATGAGCACATGTGCACATGTAAAATATTTCCTCAGTGGGGATGCTGAGTGGTGGTGATGTCGCACTCTGGAGGGCTGTGGACAGCTCCTGTGGAGGACAGTCTAATGAAAGGTTTCACACACACACAGGAAAATCTTGCTCTTGGATCAGTTTCCTCTTCTGTAACTGTCCTTAACTCTGGGAAAACAGAGGCGCCTGCACACTGAATGGTGGGTGTGAGGGGGTTGATTTCCAAACGGAACTGCAAACGACCTAGGGCCTAGGTAGCTGACAGGGATGCCTGGAGGGAGCTGAGGCCTAAGAACCAAGGGTCCTGCAGTGAAGTGGACCTAGCAGGCCTTGTGGAAGCAGAGCAGCATCACGGCGAGGCTGTTACACGCTGGACCGAGGCCAGGGGAAAGGGCACCACCGTGGCTAGAATGGAGCTGCTTCCCAGAAGGTGCCGGGCACGGGGCCGCCTGATGGCTACCTCACAGGGTCTGCATGGACTGAGTCGGGATGAATTCTGCATGCGTGGATTGGTCCTGCAAGGCTGACCCACTGCTCGAAGGAGCAGGCACGGAGTACCTGAAGGTCCTTGTGTGGGAGCGGTGCACCTCCTGTAGCTGTGCACAGCAGGTGACAGGGGTCTCTGGTTGTCCTGCATCTCAACCAAGGGTCGTTCCTCGATCAGTTTTAGGGGACGTAGAACCAAATACCTTCCTATTCCCCATCTTCCCCAAGTCCTTGCGGCCTGAGGCCACCTGGGAGAAGGGAGGGGGTGAGCTACACCAGCTGAATCAACCTCACACTGCCCCTACAGACACTGTGGCATCAGTGCCAAGCCAGAGGAGCAGGGGGCCGCTGGCCCCCAACCACGTACAAGAGGTGCGCCTGCACCGAGTGGAGTCCATCAGTGACCTGGACAGTGGAGGTGAGGGGGCAGAGGCGTGGGCTGGAGGCACTGGGGGCAGGGAGGGAGCAAGGGCACTGCCCCCACCCCGGTGTCCTGTTCACCCCACAGGCTCACTGCACCCCTACCTGACTGAAGAGACTCGACCTTGGGACGAGCTGCTGGGTGTCTTGCCCCCGTCACTGTGTGCCCAGGCTGGCTGCGGCCCCGTGTGTGGCCGTGGGGGGTTCCTGCTGCTGCTGGCGCTGTTGGTCCTCACCTGCCTGGCGCTTGCTGTCCTGGCCGTCTACTTGAGCGGTATGTACGTGGAGCGGGAAGGTGGGGTGACAGTGGGGACCAGAGCGACTGCAGGTGCTGCAGCAATGAAGGGCGGGCCGGGCGGCCTGAGGCCTGCAGATCCCGACTCCCACTTGCCCATCCCCAGTGCTGCAGAGTGAATCCTTGCGTGTCCTGGCGCACACGCTGCGCACGCAGGAGGAGACGCTGCTCAGACTCCGCCTGGCCAGCCTCAGCCAGCTGCGGCGGCTCAACTCCAGCGAGGCCCAAGCGCCCAGCTGAGACACCACTTGGACCTGGGGCCTGAGTGTGTGTGGGGGGGAATAAAGCTGCCACTGGCAGGTGTTTGCCACGGTCAGCACGTCTACTTGAAGTCCTTGGTGAGATTTTATATACACAGGTTCCCGTGCCCCCCGACTTTCAGGCCAGGCCTGGCCATGCTTTCTGGTGCGTCCTGCTTGGGTGGCCCCAGGTCAGAGGAGGGGGCGCCAGCCTCCGGGGGGGATGTCTCTGCTGGCCTGTCAGTGTCCTCTGGCCACCCCCGGGTGGTTCCGAAGTCTAGAATTAGCTGCCACTCTGCTGGGCCTCCCAGTGGGGGTCAAGCCTCGGCTCTCAGAGACGGTAGGAGCCGGGATCACCTGAGAAGACGCTGCCTGGCGGGGCAAAGGTGAGACTGGGGAGACTCCAAGCCCGGGGTATGGCTGGGGCGTGAGGGCTGGCAAAAACACCCAGGAGTGAGGAGCATGGAAGCTGAGCATTCTTTTAATTATCTTGAATCATCTTTAAAAACAGCATACAGATTCAGTCCAGCTAGCCTTGCCTCCCCGCTGCCACCCCCCTAAGGAAGTGGGCCACCTCGGGGAGCAAGGCTTGAGAAAGGAAAGGGACAGTCCCCTTCTGCACAGGCCTCCTGAGACAGTGCAGGGGCAAAGGGCCAGGGCCCCAGTGTCCTGGTTCTCAGCTGCCCACCCTATGTCTATTTTTGGTTCTGTCATTAGAAAAATAAAGTGACAATTACTGGCAGAGGCCAGCTGTTGCACTGTCTTCTGTTAAAAACATGGACAAGGGCAGGCACAGTCTTCCCGGCTGGTCCCCCGTCACAGGATGTCTGCCCGCTTGTCCCGCACGCGGCTGCGAGCCTTGGTCCGGGCTTTGAAGGCAGCGGCGTTGTACAGGTGCTGGGGGGGCGGGACAAAGAGTGATGGCCTGGTAAGCTGTGGAGCGGACAGCCCCGGGGGGGGGGCCTCCTCCCCAGCTCCTGGAGATGGGAACGGGGGGAAGGGCAAAGGTGCCCGGGATGCAGACCTTCTCGAAGCGTGAAATCTTGCAGGCTTTGAGGGCGGTGGCATCCAGCACCAGCACAGGGCCCAGGCCAAAGATGTCCCGCAGCAGCTCGTTGTTCTGGGGGCAGAGAGGATGGGGAGCTCAGGCCTGTCCCAGCCGCGGAGCTGGGCGCCCCCGGGCCGTCTCCCCACCTGGAGGTGGTGGTGCAGGCCCGAGCCCAGCGCTTCCTTGAAGGAGGTGTAGACCCGGTGCCGAGCCCAGCTGTCCACGTAGAGCACCTCGAGGCCGAAGCGGACCGTCTCCTCCTCGCATTCGCCACCCTGCAGGGGAGGGGGCGCGCAGGCTGGGCTTAGCCGCCGTGCCCGGGGCTGCGCGCTCCCGAGGACACGCGTGCTCTCACACACACCTCAACATAGTGCAGCACGGCGCGGAAGGTGGAGCGCTGGCGCCGCCGGTCGGCCTTGGCGCGGTACTTGTTGCTGTCGGTGGCCAGAGTGCGCAGGGTGCTGCAGAGGGCCTCCATGTCCTCGTACACAAAGTCCTCCTGCAGTGGTGTGGGCGGGGGCGGGGGGGGGGCACTGGCTGAGGCTGAGCTCTGCCGGCTGCCAACGTGGGGCGCGCAAACCCTTTCCAGAGCCCTGCTCCTCTGCCAGGCCCCTCACGTCCTCGGGTCTCTGCTGGGCAGAAACGGCCCTGCTCAGAGCCATCACGGCACCCAGCACGCCAGTGTGCGCTGGGGCCACCGCCGCTGCAGTGGCAGCCCTGCCTCGAGCCTGGGCCAGGCGGCGGTAGAGCAGGCACTGGCCCCCTGCCTCCCCACCTGCCCCAGGCGGCGGTAGAGCAGGCACTGGCCCCCTGCCTCCCCGCCTGCCCCTCGCACCTCAAGGTCCCGGGCGAGCTCAAAGAGCAGAGCGATGGTTTCGCCAGCAGCGATCCGCAGGTTCACACTCTCACTGGATAAGAGCTGAGGCAGCCGGGGCAGCTGCCTGGGGAGGGGGCAGGCTGAGCTCCATGCCTGGGTTGGTGGCCTCTTCGGCATCCCCTCTGCCCCCCTCCCCAGTGGAGAGCCGTCCCTACCTGTCGAGGATGTGGCTGATGTGGGCACTGGGGCAGATGGTGAGTAGCAATGCCCAGGCCTGCAGGGCAGCACAACACACACCATGCAGGCTGGCAGGGGCCACGTGACTGGTGGAGCTACCCGTGCCACAGGACCGGCTGAAAACGCCTTCTAGGCAGGCAAGGCAAGAGACCAGGTCCTAGGGGTGCAGGGAGGAAGGAGAGCGGCTCAGGGGTAGAGCTAGGGGTCTGGGTGCTCGCCCCGCTGTGTCCAGAGGCCACTCACCTGCACGTCGGCAGCAGCGACGTAGCAGCCCAGGCCCAAAGCCGAAGCACACTGTTGGGAGGACAGACCCAGCGAGGGGTGAGCTGCGGGTCCAGCCGTGGGGGCTCACCCTTCAGGCGGGAAGTGAGGACACAGACGGAAGCCACCACCCAGGTAGGGGATCAGGTGGGGGATGGGTTTCCCCGGGCACAGGGACACTCACATGGAGTCGGGCGGCGGGGCTGGCTGTGCTATCGCTGAGCACGGAGAGCAGCAGGGGCTGTAGGCTGTGGAACAGCTCCTCACCCTTGGGGCCTGGGCCCAGTTGCACACAGAGCAGGCCCAGCACGGCGGCAGCCAGGGCCTGTTCCTCGCCCTTCCCTGTGGGAAGCTCGCCAGTCAGCCCGGGCAGCGAGGGGCAGCACCTGCCCAGTTCAGGTCCCACGCACCCCCGCCCGACCTTTCTTGAGGCACTTTTCCAGGGCATCGGCCAGCGTGAAGCGGCGTTCCAGCAGGAAGTCGGGGAGCAGGCGGGAGGCCAGGGCCAGGCGCAGGCTCTCCAGCGCTCCTTGCCGCGTCTTGGCACTGTGGGTTAGAGGGGAGGTCACGTGGGCAGGCCTCCCTTGGTCACGCCTGGCAGGGGCTGAGCAGGGAGCCGGGAGGGGAGCTGGCCGGCAGCCCGGGGTACCTCTTGTCTGTGAGGCCATCCACATACTCCTTCAGCTTCTCCTCGAGGTCCTCCTGCGGGCCCTGCTCATCCACAGTGTCCCCCCCTGCAAGGCCAGCTGGTCAGCACCGCTTCCTGCCTGCACCCGGGCCGCCCGCACCCCGGCCGCGTGCTCTCACCGAGGCTGTCTTCCGCTGTGGTGCTGAGGAGGCTGGGGCACTCGCTGGTGGTGCTGCGGGCCTCACTCGCTGCCTCATCCTCACTGGACCCCGAGTCAGCCTGGGCACTGCTGCGGGCACCTGCCGAGGGGAGAACGGAGTACTCGGCATTGCACCACTGAGGAGGGGTGGCTGGGGCACCCCCCCGGTCTCACGATCCTGCAAGACAGAATGTGCCCCCAAACCAAAGCCGAGGCTGGCAGCAAAGAGGCTGATGCCGGGGACTTGGGCCAAGAAGCCAGAGAAAGGGAAGGCCGTCTGACCGCTGGACAGCACCAGGCACGAGGCCCAGGCAAGGGATTAAGCTGGCAGGCTTGGTGAGCAGTGCCTCCAGGAGGCCACAGCCCGCTGCTGTAGGGCAGTGGGAGCCAAGGGAAGGCAGAAGGCGCTGCACAGGTCCCCCAGGACCTGCGGCCCCACCGAGGTGCAGTGGGCCAGGCACATGGTCATGGAGTTCAGCTGCCAGCCTGGACTGTGCACCAAGGCAGGCAGTGTAAGGGGCCAGGGGCTTCGATGGCAGAGACAGGCAGACTCGGGGTTCAAATCCCAGCTTCACATACGGGAGAGGTCAAACCCGGTCAGCTGCCCAGCCTTCGAAGCCTCTGTTCCTCCACCTGAAAAGCACCTCTTTCAGGTGCACCAGGTGGAGACCTGTGACTTGTTACGGCCCTGCTGTGGTCAACAGACTCATCTGACCACCCTTCAGCTCTGGGGCATCGCGGGAGCTTCAGACTAACTCTCCAGAGCTTCCTCTGGTCCTTCCAGGGCCTGCGCCTTGGGTGCAGGGACACACAGGTTCCCTCGAACCCTGGGAAGAACAGATAGGGCAGAGCCCTGACTGTAGAAGCCCAGAAAACAGCTGAGCACAGGGGAGTCCGAGGGGCAGGAGGGCGGAGCACTCCCGTGTGTGAGTTCTGTCCAGGGCCTAAGGCTGACTTTGGCACTTACACGCTTCGCCTGGGAGACGAGGCCCAGCCCGCAGCTGGCCCCTGCTCACCGCGCTCTCACTAACCTACTGGCCAAGGCAGCCCATCCTCCCCCTCATCTGCTCCACTGTGCAGTGGCCCCTCCAGCTGCCAGGCCTTTGCACAACTTGCTGTCTGTACCTGCTCTCTCCCACCTTCTCCAGACCCACTAGGAAGCCCCTCCCCTGGGGTGGGGGTGGGGGTGGGGGTGGGGCTCCGATTCCCAAGGCTGGGACTGACACTGCTCAGTGAACACATTCCGGCACCAGCCCCTCTGGAAGTGTCACTACTTCACTCCCCTAATTAGGCGTTCCCTCACCCAAGCCCGACCGGGGCGGTGGCCAGGTCAAAGCTATGTCTGGCAGGCACCCCATCCTCACAGAGTAAACATATGTGTTTACGGCCCCCTGACGGGCTCCTGGTGGATGCTGATAAGCAAGTCCCAAGCCTGCCGCAAGGCTCCAGGTTACTCACCCACTCTGTGAGGCCAGGCCCAAGGCTCCAATCCTGTAGCTTCCCAATTGCCCCCTCCCTGAGTCCTCTTGAGCAGGCCAGGCCTCCGCCAACTTCCTTGACTAGTCAAATGACCACGGCTTGGCGAAGGGAATAGTTCCCTGCTATATCCCCTCCGGCAGACAACTGAGGTGGAGGAGCAACGGGGAAACCGAGGCCCGGAGGTGCTGGCGAGGTCACTTGCTGGGAGCGCGGGCACCCCCCAGGCAGCGGTCAGCGCGCTCAAGTTGGGCGCACACGTGGCCAGTGCCTGCTGGGGCACGTGCTGGGCTCGGCAGAGTTCCGGGAGAGTGCGCCGGCCTGGCCGATGAGGATTTCCCACCCTCGGACCCCCGGGGACCCAGGACCCTCGAGGACCTACGCAAGGTCCCCGCTCACCACTCACCAGCTGCCCGATGCCCCCCACTCACCTCCTCCACGGCGCTGGCCGCCCTTGCGGGGCGTGTTGCCCTTACGGGCGCGGGGCATGCCGGGAACCGGGGGTGGAGGGCGCACGGGGCGCGGGGGCGCGGGGTCAGGGACCCGGCGGGCGGGGGCTCCAGACCAGCGAGACGCCGGCCCGTGTGCTGCGCTCAGACTTAGGCAGAAGACCAGAGCCACACGCCGCGCGCGCCACCATCTTCATGAGGCGCCCCGCCCTGCTAGAGGGGTCGCCGGGAAGGCGAGTTCTCTGCCATTCGGTTCCTGGCCGTATCCACGCGGCTGAAACTACGATTCCCAGGGGACCACACGCTCAGATTTCGTGCGCCGGCTGGACGCTGAGCACCATGGGAATCGTAGTTCACTCTTGGGGACCTACCAGCCGATTACGCTTTAGCTGAACTATGCACCCACAATGCCTTGCGCTCCCACCTCCGGCCCGCGACGTGAACTAGCGCGCCGTCGTTAACTCTGAAATTTCCTTTCCTAAGTGAAGCATCCCGGCAGCACGAGCGTCTCGGGATTTGAGGTGGGGCGCTCGCTCCGAGGTCCAGGGGTCATGGGGAGAGATTGGGGCTGGGAAAAACTGAGGGAAGCCGAACTTCAGGCAGCGAAAGACAAAATGACTTTATGATGAAAGCAGAGTACAGACAACAGCTTCGCACTTCACAGACCTCAGCCCAGAGCTTCGTGGGGCCCCGGACGGGTCTCCTGTGATCTCTGCATGGACCCAGCGAGGTGCGGGAAGAAAGCCTTGAGCTGGCAGCCTTAACCAGCTGGAGCCCTGACTCAGCCCCGGGGCTGCCTGCTTGTCAGGAGGAGTCAGATGATCTCAGAAGGCTTCTGGTTTTATAAGCATTTTCCCCCCTAGGCCCCTTTGAACCCGAGAGAGAAGCGGGGTGTGTGCTTGGGAGCAGGACCCCAAGAGTGGAACGGGAGTCCTCCAGGACTGGAAAAGCGGGAGCAGAGACAGGATGAGGCAGGGAAGGGCCTCCTGGCTTCACGCCGCTGCTTCAGGTGCAGCCCCGAGCCTGGGGTCCTGGCAGCCAGGCCCGGCCCAGCCCCAGTAACAGCGGCATCTGAAGGACTGCCAAGCTCCATCGCTGCCGTCGGGCCCCAGGTGCAGGAAGGCTTCCTTCTGTGCTGGATCTCGCCGGACACAGCGCCCGTGGCCGTGACACCTCTGGTCACTGCACGCCATGGCTGCCCTGGTCACATTGATCACATAGGGGCCTAGGGTGCCCACCAGGTAGTCATGGAGACGCCAGCACTCCTCCTGAGGAGGGAAGGGGTGTGTCAGTGCTCCTGGTGGCTCGGAAGTGTAGCCTCTCCCCCAATGGGGACCCAGCACACGCCTCATGGCAGGCCGAAGGGGGCCGTGATCACCTCAGAGCTGGAGAGGCTCAGGTCCCCCCAGAGCACCACGCCGGCCGCTCCCAGGGCTGCGCTCACACCAATGGTCTGCACAAGGTCATCCTGGAGGCAGAGAGCTGCTAAGCGGGGCCTCGGCTCACTGCCGTGAGCTGGGCCTACCCCTGGGTACCGAACTCCTGTCTTCCTGGGCCGTCCACTCAGACAACGTCTCCCCTCAGACCAGGCCTCCATAGGCTGGGCCTTGTGTACTCTTCAAGGTCTTCAAGAGCTAAGCCACGTCTCCCTCACTGGACCCTCCAGGACAGGGCCTTCCTCTCATAGCTGCTAGATCAGGAACCTCCCTTTTCAAATCCCCGGGAAGGCCAAGCCTCCTGACTCAGACCTTGGCCTCCCAAGGGCTCACCTTCCACTTACCTGGGCCAGGAACCGGCCAGAGCTCCGGTACGTGAGGCGGGCATAGGCCAGGACAGGCAGGGGGCGCGCGCGCCCCGCCAGGGCCATGCGGAAGGCCTCCTCCAGGCGATGTCGCACGAAGGCCTGGCGGTAGGCAGGTGGCAGTCTGGGTGGGAGGTAGATGCTGGGGAAGAGGGCGCTGGAGGCGTCCCAGAGCCAGTGCAGCTGGGTGTTGCGGGCAAGGGTGGCTGCGCGGCAGTGGCCCGTGTAGTTGGAAGCCTTACTGTGCCAGCCATTGCCACAGGCTGGATAGCGATAGAAGCCCCAGAGCCCATGGGGCCGGAGTGCCTGGCCCAGCCGCAGTGTGTCCTCCATCAGCGCACGGGCTGCCCGCTCAAACCCAGTACGGGCTTCGCGGAGCTGCTCCCGAGGGTCCCAGTCGGGGAACATTCGCTGAGCCCAAGCCCGGGACGCTGCCTGGTAGGCTCGGCGGCGGCCCCGATTCCCAGACCAGAGTGGGTACCACTCCTCCCAGTCCAGCACTGCCAGGCCAGCAAAGCTGGGCCTCAGGCTGTGGCAGATCTGGTAGGCAGCTCGCGCCAGGTGCAAGTCAAGGGGCACAGCCTGGGGGATGCCCCCGTTGTGAGCCGTGCCCCTGGGCCCCAGGTAGGGGTACAGGCCGAACTGGTTCTTGTAGAAAATGGTGACATTCTGGCCACGGAAGTGCTGGCCCCAGTTGACTGTGATGCCCAGGGCGCTCAGTGGCAGCCGCACACCGAAGCGGGCCTCGCAGTGTGCCGAGGGCACGTTCCAGAGCACGGAGAAGGGGCGCTCCGGGGCCTGCAGCCAGCTCTGGCCGCACCCCAGGCACACAGCCACCCCCAGCACCAGGGCCGGGCCTAGCTGCATGGTCATGCCCCAGGGATGGAAACCTGCAGGAGAGGGGGAGGGAGAGAGAGAGACAGAGTGAGAGTGTGGGCTCAGAGGCCACAGCTTTCCACACAGCAGGAAAAGCTCCCAAGCTCCTCCCAAGGCTGAGGGGCTGGGGAGAGCATGGTTCCTGAGGGGTCGTGGAGGCCTCTCCGAGCAGCCACACTGCACTGGCCTGGGTAGTGCCCCTCGTGCGTTCTCCATCAGCGGAGACACCACGTGTCCTCTGGTCTCTCTCCCTCACACAGCTGTCTCGATTGCCTTCCTCCCTCTGCCCCAACAACTCAGCTCCTCCCGCTCCTTGCTGGCCTGGCCTAATTCCTCTGCAACACTCAGGTCTCTGCTCCTGCAGCCGCTGTAGCTCCCCGGGGCCAGCATGAGTCCTGCCACTGCTTGCCTGACTCCCTCCCTCCCTATCTGTCCGCTGGGGTCAAGACCTTATCTGTCTCGTTCTCCATTACCTATGTCCAATTCTGGGCCGGATACCCAACAGGTGCTCCTGAATGGGCAGGGAACAGCCACCTGGGAGGCAGAGTGGGTGAGGTGAAGGCCAAGAGTCCCCCATCGATGGCCCCGGGGGCCAAACTGGGTCTACAGAGATGGGGACCTGAGAAGTGGGGGGGGGGGTCAACAAAAACTGTCACAGCCACACCTGGTGGAAGCCTTTATTCAGCCACATGGACGGCTCCGAGCCAGAGCTACAGAGCCAGCTCCTGGCCCTCCTGGCGTCTGGAAACACGTCCAGGCTAGAGCTGCCCCCCAGGGGCTAGGGACTGAGGTGTGGACTGTGGGCTGTGGCCGGTACTGTGCCAGGCAGTCCAGGTGCCCAGAAACTGTCTCGGCCTGGTGCTCTCAGATGTCTTTCTCCATCCAGAATATGGGGCATCCCTTCAGGTCGTGGTACTGCGTCCCCAGCGGACTTTCTGAGGGGGACGCTGCTGAAGGCAGGGGTGAGGTGGTCAAGGGCTCAGGTAGCGGAGGGGGTGGTGGCGGCAATGGGGGTGCCTTCGGGCCTCTTGGGGCAGCTTGCACCGGCAGGCTGGGAGCCTTGCAGGGCGGCCGAAGGGGAGGGGCCCTGGAGAAGGTGCTGAGCAGGGCGGCCGGTAGGCGCCGGCTGGTGAAGGCCAGGCCCTGCACGGGCTTGCTCAGCCGGTAGCCCAGGTGGGCATAGAAGTGCAGCTTGTCGTGGGTGGTGAGGTGCAGCCTGCGGAAGCCCCGGGCCCGAGCAAAGACCTCCAGGCTCTCCATGAGGCGGCGGCCGAAGCCACGGCCCCTCAGGGCCCGGGCCACCACCACTGTCTCCACTAGGAGGCTCTGGGGCTGGTCCAGCACACGCGACAGACGGGCATGGCCCACCACAGTGGGGACTGCTTGCGGTGTGTGGCCGGGGCGCAGCAGCACCAGGCAGAGGGGGAAGGCGTCTGAGGACTGGCCCAGGGAGTGCAGGCGGGAGGCACGGCTGCGGGGCCACTGCTCATTGATGAGGTCGGCACACGCGTCCAGGAGCTCAGGTCGGCAGTGCACAGGCTCCAGGGTCAGCTCAGCCAGGTTAGGGGTTGGGGTCTCCTCTGGCTGCTGTTCAGGATCCAGCGTCAGCCCAGCTGGGCCAGGACCGAGGGTCATCTCCCGATGGCATGTGGAATCCGGGGTCAGCTCAGCTAGCCTGGGGCTCAGGGTCAGTTCTGGCTGGCGTGCAGGATCCAGGGTTAGCTTGGTCAGGTTGAATCTCAGGGTCAACTCTGGCTGGCATGCAGGATCCAGAGTCAGCTCAGCTGGGCTGGAACTCAGGATCAGCTCCATCTGGTGTATAGGGTCGGGGGTAGAGGTCAGCCTGGCTGGGCCAGGGCTGAGTCAGCTCCTGTCTACATGTAGAAGCTAGGCTCAGCTGAGGCAGGCTGGGAGCCAAGACCACCTCCTAACAGGCTGCAGGTGGCTCGGTGCTAGACTGGAGGTTGGGACCCTCTTCTCCAGGGAGCAGCACATCCTCAGGCCACAAGGGCGCTCCTCCGAGGCTGGTGGGGGACTGGGCTGGGGCAGGGAGGGGCTTCTAGAGGGCAAGGTGGGTCGTGCATCCTGGAACTGGGGAATGGTGGGCTGTATCTTGTTCCACACTCTGCTCATGGCACAGGTGATCTCAATGAGACCCTTCCCCTATATCTGTGGGAGCAGGGCGGGAGGCCTCACGTATCTTGCCCCACACCGGAAAGATGGCACGCTGCCGAGCCCAGAAGTCTTGGCTCCAGGCTGCTCTGGCTACAAATTCGTCCTCACGGGGACCCTGCTGCACCAGGACAGCGGATGCAGCCTGCTTGCTGACCATCTCGTCTCTAGCACTCCACCGGCCGGCCTGAGAGCTGCCACTTACAGCCCCCGGGCTTCAGAGCCAGCACGGCCTCCGACTCGCATGCCCTTTCTCCTCCCTACGCTCAGCTCTGCTTCGGCTCCTCTGTGCCATGCCACTGCCTGAGCGGCCCTGGGTCCCCACTCACCCCCCACATCGGGCTCAGCTTGCCCCTCGACCGCTCTTCCTGGCTGCGGCACACCCAGGTCTGCCCAGCTCGGGACACTCTGGGCATGGTCCCACTGGCCCACAGTCACACAGCCGTGCTGCCTGTGCAGGCCTCCCCCACCCCACCCCCCCGGCCTGAGTCTCCTAGCCACCCTAGATAAAGACCACAGCTTCCTTCCTTTATCCACAGGGTGTCCAACGGCCACCAGGTCGGGGGCCCAGGTCTCCTGTGCCCAAACCCCATTGTGTGACCCCCTCTCTCCAGTTCCGGCAGGCAGCAGGGTCTGTGCGGGGATGGGGGGATTTCTTGCAGGTGCTTGGGGCACCTGACAGCTGCACCTGCTTAGGCACTCCAGAGGGGGCTGCCTGCCTCCTTTTCCCAACCTCCCCTGAGCTTGGGGCCAGTTCAACGCTGGTCCGTAAAGGGCTGCTCCCCTTCCCAGCCCCACCCCACCAATAACACATCCACTCAGAGCTCTAAGAACCTCACCTGAGGCAGCCCAGCCGCACTCCTGGGTTGGGAGGGAAGCAGCCCCGGGCTTCTCGGCGGGCTTAACCCCTACAGTGCCGACCCCACCCACTGTGGGCGGAGCGAGGCTCCGGCATTCTCGGGGGCTGATGGCTCCCGTGCCTCGGTTCCCCCCTCTCCTAATGAGTCACAGATGGTGCAGCTTTTAGGCTTCGAGAGCTGACTCTGGGTGTGTGTGGTCTGACATGCTCTGGGAGGGAACGACTGACGCAGGGAGGGTGTGCGGGCGGCAAGGCCACTGGGGGGGCCTCCCGCGCACGGAGGGACGGACAGGGAGCCCGTGGGGAGGGGGCGGTACTGACATGTTGATGCTGGGCTCCGGGACGAACCGCGTCCTCGTTCCGCACGGTTTGGGATCTCGCGGGCTCGGGCTCGGCCTCCTCCGTCCGCCCGCGCTGGCCCCAAGCGGTGCGGCGGACGCACTGCAGCGGTCGCGGCCCCGCGGCTCCCCTCTTGGGCCTAGGTCTCCCGGGGCGGCCGGCCCCCGCCCCGGCCCCTGGGTGTCACCGCCGAAGCCCCGCCCACGGTTCTGCGCGTCACAGCGCGGATGGGGCGCAGACGCGGTCTCTGCCCCGGCTCCGGTTCTGTGCTTCCTGCCGCGGCCAAGCCGGGCCTGACGTCCGGTTGACCCCTCCTCCTCCCTGTTCGGGCCCCACACAGGCTCCGCCTCTGGTTTCTTGCATCACGTTTAGGTCCCGCTTCGATTGGTCGGGGGACCGACGCAGCCCTGCTTCCGCTGGTAGGCCCCTCCCCCAGCTACGCCCCCACCCCACCCCCAGGCTCAGCCTGGTCCGAGTTTCGTTGAGGCTCCCGCGGGCCTCTGGAATCAAATGGAGAGGAACTTCCTCCTGAAATTCGGGTCCCACCCTGGGAAGCTGTCACCCTCAGACGGACAGGGGTCCCGGGAGAGACGAACCACTGCTGCCCGTTGTAGGTGCTACATAAGCAACTCGCCAAGTCCGTCTTGACTGCTTTATTTGCTGGGCTGAGGGGGTTGGTGAACATCCCATAGTAAATCCAAAAGGCCGTCCGCAACTGGGACCTCAGCTTCGCCCTGTCTTTGCTGTGTGACCTTCCTCAAAGGGCTTGCCCTCTCTGTTGGTGCCTCAGTTTTCTCATAAGCCTAATCGTGAGGATAAACGAAGTCCTCCTAAAATGACTAACGTGGGACTTAAGGAGTAGGTGCTTGGCGAATAAGGGCTTCTGCGGTTGCTGCATTTCAGACTGGCGTAGTGTCTGTCCTAGCGCAGTAGGTGCATGTGAACAGTGCCTGCCCGTGGCTGTAACTGTGTGTCTACTCTGATCCGTACCCTTGCCTGAGTGTCGGGGCACGCGCCGTGGTGCTGGCTGAGTGTTACTCCTGTGACTGTGTGGCTGCGCCTGGTTCTGAGGAAGCTGTGCCCAGCCCCGCCCGGAGCGCACGAGGTTCTGGGTGTGCACAAGGCGACGACGTGTGACCCGTCACCGCCTAACCTGCTGTTCACACTGAGCTCCCCGCCACCCACGGTAGCAGTGGCATTGGAACTCCGTAGCCATTTGCACCCGATCCTTGAGTGAGAGGGCGCCCTGCAGGGTCAGGGGTCCACCGGGCGTGAGCTGGATGGAGAAACTAGCAGGACTGAGGACGAGGAGGGCCTCGGGGTGGCTGGGGTGGCGGGCACAGCGGCCGTGGCCCGAGCACAGGGCTTGACTGCAGAGAAGAGCCGCACTGGTCACATTCAGGATGAAGGGCCCCAGTGTGGTGTCCACGTACGTCTTGATGGCCAGGCAGGATTCCTGGAGGAGAGGGGGAGCGTCGGATACCACCACTATGCACAGGCCTACCTGGGTCATCGAGGCCTCCCCTGCTGGGCAGCCAGGATTTCCAGGGTGGAGAGGGTGGGCCAGGGTCTCCTGGTTACCGTGACCGCCCGATCCCTGCTCCTGGCCCCCAGAGGCCCGAGCTCACCTTGGTTTTCGTGTTCTCCGAGCTCACCCAGAGCACCACTCCGGCTGCTCCCTGAGCCATGCTCTCCCCGAGGCTGTGCTCCAGCTCCTCCTGGGGAAGAAAGACCACGCAGCTCTGAGGGGCCTCCCTCCCCAGGGCCGGTCGCTGTAACCCATTGCGTGGAGCACACGCGTCCCAACCACTGCGTGCGGCAGCGCTGCCCAGCACGCGAGCCTGTCCCCGTCGCGCCTGCGAGTGCCATGCAGATAACACTGCCTCTTCCCAACAAGTGAGCGGGTAGGAGTGCCTGACGGGAAAAACTGACCAGGGCGTGGGGTCCTGAGGAAGACTCACCAGGGGCAGGAAGTGGTTCGTCAGTGCGTAGAAGATCTGGGCGTAGGGGAGCACTGGCAGAGTGGGGTTCCCGGCAGCCGTTGCCACGCGGAATGCCTCGGTCACACGGTGCCGCACATACATCCACTCTTTCCCTGTGCCCTCCAGTGCTGCAGGCATGTAGATGCTGGGGTAGAGGGCACAGCTGTGGTTCCACAGCCAGCCCAGCTGGTCATTCTGCTCAGAGGTGTCTGGGGCGCACTGGCCTGTGTAGTTGGGGCTTAGAAAATCAGAGTTGTAGCAGTCGGGGAAGCCATAGAAGCCCCACAGGCCGCCGGGCCGCAGCAGCCGCCCCAGCTGGAGGGTGTCTGTCATCCAGGCCTGCGCGGCCCCCTGGAACTGGTCCTGGGCTGCCTGATCCACCCGAGGAGCCGGCCAGTCAGGGTGTGTGGCCCGCACCAGCGCCCGGGAGCGCTGCCGGTAGATGTCCTTGGCATCCCAGTTGAAGGCCCAGCGCGGGCGCCAAGCCTCCCAGTCAATGACTACCAGCCCTGAGAAGTCGGGTGCAGGCATGGCAGCCAGAATGTCGTGGAAGGTGCGGGCCAGGTGGGTAGCCAGGCTGGCATTCTGGGGCAGGCCACCAAACACAGGCTCCCCAGCGGGCGTGTAGTACGGGTAGGTTCCCAGCTGGGAGCTGTAGAAAATGGTCACGTTAGGGCCGCGGAAAGCCTGTCTCGGGTTGACTACCACATCGAAGACACTGACGTCCACGTCCACGCCGTGCATCTCCAGGCACCACTGGGTGTCTGCGTTCCAGACCGTGGTGAAGGGCTTGGGGGGTACTGTAGAGTCCCCAGAGCCTCGAGCAATGGCAAGCAAGATCAGAAAGAGGCCACAGATGCGAAGCAGGCGGGCTGCCATGGCACAGGGAGGGCCTAGGGAAACCTGGCCGGGGAGGCAGAGCTGAGAGCAGGCCTTGATCTCCAAGAGCCCAGCACGGAGCGTAGGGGCCATGCCCCTTGCTGCTCTGGTTCCCGTTAAACACAAATCTGTAAAACGCAGGGAGGTTAGAGGGCAGAGGAGAGACATGGGGGAGCCCTGGGGGCCCATCCGGGTCACCTCTAGGGTTGGGCCCCTGCCGTCTGCCTCCCCTTGCTCTGGCCTAAGCTTGCCCACCCCCTTTCCCAAAGGCCACTGAAGTTCTGGGAAGAGCCAGGCCCTGAGCCTGAGGTGACCAGGCCGACCTGACTGGGAGGAGGGGCTTTCCAGTCTCTTTGAGCAGAAGTGCTGGCCACTCACTGGAGAAAGCCGTGCCCTGTGGACAGACACTGGCCAGCCCAGCCCTCCTGCTCACCCGCCAGTCTGCCCGCTTTGTCCCTGCTGACCTCAGAGCCAAAAGGCCTCATCCTGCAGACTTCCTGACCCCAGGGTGTGGGCAACGCAGGGCCAGGGCGGACTCCCTCCCTTGTCCTGGCCTCGGCTGCACCAGAGATCGAGGAGGAAGAAGCTGCCTGGCAACTCTTTGCTTTTGTAGGAGTTGCACCACCCAGTCCTGGGGCGGGCCAAGGGGCGGGCCCTGGATCTGGAGACCGGGCTGGGAGGCCCCGCTGCCTCTGAATCTCCAGCAAAGTGCTCTCAATGAGGGGTGGGGCTGAGCCGGCAGGAGCCCCTCCCCAGTGTGGGCTCTCGGGCAGGGCTTTGTGGCTCTCTGGGCACTGGAAGGGGTGAGCAGCGATGGGCACTGGAGTCTTAAGTGCTCAGGGAAGGTGCTTTCCCCTCGAAGCTGCGTTAGGACCTGGGAGGGCCCTGGGCATTTTTGCCTTCATGGAGAACTTTTCTCCATAAAACAATCTCTGTTGACTCATTTGTTAATTTTAAATGTTTGAGGGGCTGGCACTGTGGCGCAGCGGGTAAAGCGGGTAAAGTTCGAGTCCCGGCTGCTCCACTTCCGATTCAGCTCTTGGCTATGGCCTGGAGAAGCAGAAGAAGATGGCCCAAGACCTTGGGCCCCTGCACCCACGTGGAAGACCCTAAAGAAGCTCCTGGCTCCTGGCTTCGGATTGGTGCAGCTCTGGCTTTTGTGGCCATCTGGGGAGTGAACCAGCAGATGAAAGATGTGTCTCTGTAAGGTGTCCGGCGTGTAACAAATCTTCCCAGTCAGATAAATCAATTAATTCACAAGTATGTGTTGGGATTCCGCTCCTGGGTGAGGTTCACCGGTCCCAACAGAGCGGGGGGCTGGGGAAGTCCCAGCTCAGAGGTTGGGAGGGCTCCTTTTATAGACACAGGGCGTGGGGGTTAAAGGTTGACCTTTAGGCACCCGTGGGGGTCTTGACAAGGACTTTCCATTCCAGGAAGTGTAGGCCTTCTCTCCTTGCGGGTCCCAAAGCTGTCAGTCTCTACCTCTCAATGTAACTCTGTCTTTCAAATAAATAAATCTTTTTTAAAAATGTTTATTTGAAAGGCAGTGATGGAACATAGACATAAGCCTCAGCCATTCTTGCTCAGTGCCCCAAAGCTGGATAAACGCTGGAATTTATTCTGTGCCCTTGAATCGCCAATTGGGTTTCACACCCTGTGGCCTTCATACCTGACCCTGCCTTGTTTCCAGGTTCCCAAAGCCCTGCCTAGTTCCAGGAATTCACCTCTTCCTGCTGTCTCTACCCCCAGCCCCAGCCCCTGCCCTCCTGAAATAAAAAAAGGCCCGGCCCCTGGAGGTCAGGGCCTTCTGCCCCTGTTCCATCGATGTGCAGGCCGGCAGTTGGTCACCCACCTCTGCGCATTTATTTTCTCCGAATACATTCGGTCTGGCTGTAAATTCCTACACGCCCTCCTCTGTTCTGTGCCTTTTTTTTCCTAACGGGGAGTAAGAAAGAGATGGAAATCTTCCATCCACTTATTTGTTTATCAAATGCCCGGAACAACAGGGGTTGAGGCAGGCAGGAGCCAGGAAGTCCATCTGGGTCTCCTACGTAGATGGCAGGGTTCCAAGCACTTGAATCATCCCTGTCCCCCAGGATATGGGTCAGCAGAAAGCTGGATCGGGAAGCAGAGTTGGGAACTGGACTTGGGCACCCGGACAAGGGATGGGCACATCCCAGTCACTGCACTATTACAGAAACCTGGGGATGGGAAAACTCCCTTCAAACAGGCACCGGAGTCTGTGGAGGCTTGAAAGCCGTTGATTAATCCTGGTGGGCTCATGGGAGTCATTTCCTGAGGCTGAGCCCTGAGCCTAGGTTTCTTAGAATATTTATAGGTTCATCAGCATCATACTTTAGCATTACAGCAATGATGGGTTTAAATTGCAGCTTACATGACTTAGGACCACACTTAGCAATGGTCGGTGGGTCTGGTGTGTTTATAGAGGAGATACTGGGGCAGGTTTATAGGACAGATTTGACTGGAGTTACAGAAAGCAGGGCTTAGGGCATCTTCCCTCCCTAGACAGGATCACTGAGGGAGCCGCTTGTCAAGGTTAGTGTTGGGGGGCCTCGTCCTTTTTTTTTTTTTTTTTTTAATTTTTGACAGGCAGAGTGGACAGTGAGAGAGACAGAGAGAAAGGTCTTCCTTTTACCGTTGGTTCCCCCTCCAATGGCCACTGTGGCTGCACCGAGCTGATCCGAAGCTGGGAGCCAGGTGCTTCTCCTGGTCTCCCATGTGGGTGCAGGGCCCAAGCACTTGGGCCATCCTCCACTGCACTCCCTGGCCACAGCAGAGAGCTGGCCTGGAAGAGGGGCAACTGGGACAGAATCCGGCACCCCAACCGGGACTAGAACCCGGTGTGCCGGCGCTGCAGGGCAGAGGATTAGCCTATTGAGCTGTGGCGCCGGCCCTTCCTTTGTTTTTGATTGTGGGCTTACTGCCTCTACATTGCCCCCACCTTGGGTGCTCCTTAACCTTTCTAAGGGGTACCATCTTCTGTTACATCCTCTAAATTAATTCACTGGTGGCTTTGGAGGAGCACTTGGAACTCCACAGCCTCAGGTGAGCAGAGATGAATGAGTTTAGCATCTGAAGGGTGCCAGGACCAGACAGGAGTTCCAGAAGGCTCGTGAGGAGAGGTCCAGACAGCGGGAGGAGCCAGGATGTCCCACTCCCTGCATTCCAGAAACTCTAAGAATTAGCTACTTTTTTCTCTCCTTTTTCTGGCCCTCCTGTTAAGTTGCTGGACCATATCTCTTAGTACTCTTAACTCTAAGGGAAAGAATGCAGATTGGTGACATCTCCCACAGGGCACCAAAATGTAAGGAAAAGAGGTGCAAAACAGAGAGGAGGCAGGGTACAAATTGACAGGCTGAATTACAGACAGAATTTCTTCGGGGAAAATCTGTACAGGTGACCAACTGCCAGCGTGTATGTTGATGGAGTACGTGGCAGGAGGCCCCGACCCCAGGGGCAGGGCCTTTTTTATATTTTGGGAAGGGTGCAGGTCGGGGTAGGGGGCAGCAGGCAGAGGTGACTTCCTCCATACTGGTCTGTCTACATTTTTTTTTAAAGATTTATTTGTTGGAAAGGCAGGGTTACACAGAGGCAGAGGCACAGAGAGAGAGGTCTTCGATCGGCTGGTTCACTTCCCTGATGGCCACAATGGCCAGAACTATACCACTTCGAAGCCAGGAGCAGGAGCTTCTTCCAGGTTTCCCACACAGGTGCAGGGCCCAAGTCCTTGGGCGGCTTCTTCTGCTTATCCAGGCCATAGCCGAGAGCTGGATCGGAAGTGGAGTAGCCAGGACTCGAACTGGAGCCCATATGGGATGCCGGGACTGTGGGCAGCAGCTTTACCCAGTTTGCCACAGTGCTAGCCCCATACTGTTCTTTCAAGTGGCCTCAGAACCTAGGGAAGAATGTGGTGGTTGGTGGGGGGTTGTAAAGCTAATAGGGTGTGAGACCAAGTTGAGATTTCAGGGACAAGGGATAAGGTATCTGCTTTCTGGAGAAGGGCTGAGGTTTATGTCTGTCTTCCATGAGTCCTGAGTACAGGGAAGGAGAAGGGGTGCTGATTTCTTGCTACTTCCTGCTGATAAGGGGCATAGACCTGGGGCAAGGATTTGAGCAAGTATTTGTATTTGGGATCAGGTTGAATGAAGAAGAACAGTTTTATATTGCTCCTGCAAGATGGCTTGAGATCTAGCAATTATTTGTCCCTGCAAGAACCTTTGGAATAGTTAATTATACAGGGCAGAGATAGGAGCACTATGAGGTCAAAGGAGATTTTAGAAACATTGCTCCTGGCAGAAGAGATGGCCAAAATGAGGCAGAGTTACTTTGTGAATACATACTATTTTAGTATCATATTTGAGAGGTAGGGTTATGGACAGATGGAGAGACAGTGAGAAAGGTCTTTGATCTGCTGGTTCACTCCCCAAATGGCCAGAGCTGAGCCCATCCAAAGGCAGAAGACAGGAGCTTCTTCAGGGTCTCCCATGTGGGTGCAGGGGCCCGTTGACTTGGGTCATTTTGTTTTTTCTCCCAAATGTTAGGACTTTATTTACAAAGCTTCTTGTTGTACAGAAAGTAAAAATGCTGTTAGAGTCTTGGCATAGCTGGTAGCCATGGATGGCGGACTCACCAGTCATGGCTGCCCATGCTACAGCAAGTCTCATACACAAACCTAACAATGCTTGCAGTTTTGTTGGGGTGAGTCCCTGAGCTTGATGGTGGGTGGTTGGGTCATCTCCTGTTTTCCCAGGCCACAGCAGAGAGCGGGGTTGGAAGAGGAGCAGCCAGGACTAGAAGCAGCGCCCATATGGGATGCTGGCACCACAGGTGGAGGATTAACCTGCTGTGCCACAGCACTGGCCCCATGAATACATCTCATTAGCATGTCTTTTTATGTGTTTGATACCATATTTTTATTTATTTATTTTTATTTTTGACAGGCAGAGTGGACAGTGAGACAGAGAGAAAGGTCTTCCTTTGCCATTGGTTCACTCTCCAATGGCCGTCGCGGCCGGTGCACCGCGCTGATCTGAAGCCAGGAGCCAGGTGCTTATCCTGGTCTCCCATGGGGTGCAGGGCCCAAGTACTTGGGCAATCCTCCACTGCACTCCCTGGCCACAGCAGAGAGCTGGCCTGGAAGAGGGTCAACCGGGACAGAATCCGGCACCCCGACCGGGACTGGAACCCGGTGTGCTGGCGCCGCAAGGTGGAGGATTAGCCTATTGAGCCGCAGCGCCGGCCTTGATACCATATTTTAACACACCTGATTTATTGGTGTAAAAGCAACATTCTTAACCCAAAAAGAGGCAAAATCCTCCTTTCCTAGTGCCTGGCAGTTCTGGAGAAGCGCTGCCAGTGAGTCCACCTGGTCCCCGAGGTGAGACAGCTGCTGTGCTAGGTCATTTCTGTGTTCTTTGAGACTGAGAGAGAACCTTCGATTTTATTTGCCTCATCTACTGAAATGGCTAGTCCAGTCTTTTCTGTTGCGATTCCTATCAAGATACTCAGCTGGATTATCAGGGGGGTGAGTCCGAAACCCCTCTTGAGGTGGTAGGTTATAGGGACAGAAAATAGATTGGTCTAGAGTAGAGAACCGAGGAGGAAATCGGA